TGTGCCCAGCCGGGAAGAACCACAAAGGGCGGCCGTCCAGTTGCTGCCCTGCGCTGCTCCTGGAGGGAACGGACCTGACCAGCTACGGGGCCAAGATCTACAAAATGAAGGACGGCCTCATTGGCTCAGCTCTGGACCTCATAAAGAAGAGGTAAACCGCCTCCATATCGATATATCAATATTGCAGACTCAGACTGTATTGTCTAATAATATTGTACATTGTAATACGATACATCATATTTCATTCCTTGTGTACTGATAAAATACAACAACGATCGGTATAAAAAAAAAAAAACATGATACAAAACATCCAGACCAATACAGTGTATTATAAAAAAAAAAAAAAAAAAAAAAAAAGAGATCTAACACAGTATCAAATATCTGTTGCTTATGTGTTGACAAAAATACTGACACCCCCCCGTCCGATTCCGATCACCCCCCTCCCACCCCTAACAGCTGCAGTGCAGACATTTCCTCCGAGGCCCCCGTCAGGCTGTCAGCTGAGCGGGACAGAGACGCCCCCGACGCCCCCCACCAGCCCTCTGCCGCCGTCGCCATGGCAACCGCGGCAGGAGCCGAGGCTGGCCACCAGACACCTACAGAAGAAGAAGAAGACGGCGGCGGCGAAGGCGAAGACTGTACAGAGTATGGACTGGAAACCCCAAGGTCACATTTCCTCCGAGGCCCCCGTCAGGCTGTCAGCTGAGCGGGACAGAGACGCCCCCGACGCCCCCCACCAGCCCTCTGCCGCCGTCGCCATGGCAACCGCGGCAGGAGCCGAGGCTGGCCACCAGACACCTACAGAAGAAGAAGAAGACGGCGGCGGCGAAGGCGAAGAAGCGGGAGAATGTGTAAGGAGGATTTTATTTTTTCGGCGTGTGCCTGTGTGCGTGCATGTGTGTGTGTGTGTCTGTGTGTGTGTGCTGTGTTTGGCAGCAGCTTGGCTCGCGATCTGTCGGCATTCTAGGATGGCGAGGACACTGCGACAGACACACGCGCCCATGCAGGGATATATACGGGTGTGTGTGTGTGGAAGGAAATGTCTGAGGATGCATAAAATGGGGGGGAAAGTGGGATTATCTCCATCCCTGGCAACCCATCCATCCATCTATTTATCCATCCATCCTGCAGCATTCCTGGGGTCAAACAGGCATGGTCACTCGCATCGTTTTCCCCTTAAGAACGTTTAGCATTCCGATCGGATTAACAAAACGGAAGAAAAAGGTGGGGGGGGCATTTTTATGTGTTGTGTTTCTCGTTTTACAAATGGCGTTAGGGATATATATATATATATATATATATATATAAAATGGTAAAATTCTAAGTCTATCTAGCACTGTTAGCCACAGCTACTTAATAGATTTTTACCAAGTCAATGCGGTGCGGTTACCTGCCGCCATTCTATACTGTTTGCCAGTGGTTGAATACATTGCTAATGTAGAATATACGCCAATATAGCATTGTTACCCACTGACATTTAAGACGGTAAATATGCTAACTGAGTGTACTGATAATAAATCAGTATAACGACAACCATTAGCCGCCACTATCTTAACGCATTGTCACTGCTAAATATATAATGCTAAGTCAACGTAGCACCGTCGATGCAAATATTCATTGTAACTGTGAATAAATGTGAATACTAGCTAGTCGCCACCTCAGACAATAAGTCAGCATAGTGATTGGAATTAGCTGCTTGTTTATAAATTTGCCACTGCAAAATATACAGATGCTACATCAGCACAGCGCTCGTTGTAACTTGCTTCGACTTAATACTCACCGTTAGCCATCACTATTTAAGATCAAATATTCCATTTTATTTCAATTAATAAACAATAGCTGAATACATTTCCGAAATCAAATAAGCCGAGTCAGTGTAGCGCAAATTGTGCCTACTCGCTATTAGCGCCTGTCTCTTTAAGTGCCGCGACCATTCCTTGTCCCAACCCTTCCTGAAGCTGAGCATAAAATGTGATTTGTTTCCCCAGCCCGTGCCTGACAAAACCTGAAAGCTTGCGGAGGGTGGGGGGGGGGGGGACTCGGATTGATGCAGCATGTTGAGGAATTCTCACTCTGGGATGCTTCGAATTATCTTGGAGATAAGAGCTTACATTTCAGGGCACATGACCGCCTACTTTCCTCCCTAGGAAATTTATAATGTACTGTAGAAGAAGAGGATAAGATTCATCACAATATCTAACACTTGACGGTTGCGTATCAGTACTATCCTATTAAACAACGCTACGTTATCAGGATATCGACATTTGGTGCATGTATCGTGATAAGGGTCTGGACTAGAACATACGGATATTTGAGGCTTGTGATAGGATAAGAAAACAGTATGCGCTGATATCGATACAAAATACATACATGTCATGGTATCGATATTTGATGCTGATCTATGAATCCCTCACTGTAAAGGAATGTGATAGGATACATCACAACATCGATATTTGAAATTGAACCATCAAAGAGCATGACATGGTATATCCTGTGATGTTTGATGCTTGTGTATCGATTACACAATATGATACATCCTGATATCAGCAAATATCATTGATATGCTATCGATATATGAGGCTTGTGTATCGCTGCTGTGTTGCCGTGACAACATGATTTCCAAGCATCGTTTCCGTACCCTCAGACGCCGGGTGCCTGCCGGCGTTCCAGTTCAGACACCACATACGAGCGATTTCAGGCAACTGGATCGGAGCGTGTGCACGAGCGGTCGCAGACGGCTGACGGGTGTCGCTTGCGACCGCACCGCAGTGACCCCATGCCGGCAGATACCTCCGGTCGCAAACAGCCCGAGATGAAGGCCAAGATGGAGAACGCGCCACATGGAGGACATCATCGGAGGGAGAGAGACAGCGGTGAGGACAAACGACGCCGCGGTGTGCCTCGTTGTAGATTTACGGGGATGTAAAATCGACCCCCCCGCCCCCCTTTCTGGTTTCAGATCGTCAAGCCAGTTTTATTATCTCACTTACTGACCGCCGGCCATTTTCTTGTGTTACAGAATGTTGGGTTGTGTCTTATCTCAAAATACTGGTTTCTGACTCAAACATCTGATCTAATATTTCTTGCTTTTGTGACCTTTTGCTACATCCTCAGCTCCAGCAGTGCTTCGCGGTCACTCGGAGCCGCCCGGCGAGGAGCGCCCGGCGGGTCCAGACGACCGTCCAGTGTTGGATCGCCGGAGGGGCCGCGCCCGCCATCACCGATGGAGCACCATCAGTAGCCTGAGCGCCGACAGCGGCGTGGTCGGTCTTAGCGAGGAGGACGACAATGGCGCCGAGCCCCGGCGGCAGCGGCGCGGCGTGGAAGTGGAGCGGGCCGACAGCGGCATCGGACCGGGTCTCTCCCGGGCCTGGAAGAGACCCTCGCTGTGCACCGACTGCGGTCGGCGAGACGAGACATCGGAGGGCCGGAGCGCATGCGAGCGTTGCGCCAAACTGCGGGCAGAACGTAAAGAAGCCGTGTTGGAGTTCCTGAACACGGAGAGCAGCTACGGCGAGGACCTGAGGATCATCAAGGAGGAGTTCTACGGACCGATGCGCGGCGCCGGCCTGCTGAGTGCCGAGCAGCTGGCGGTGGTCTTCGCCAACGTCCAGGAGTTGGCAGACGTGAATGAGAGGTTCACGGAACATCTGCAGGACGCCATTGAACATGCTCTGGACCAGGTGAGAAGACGTCACCTCACTGTTCGGCATCTCGACTCACTGACTCTCTGGCGTTTGGGCTTAGGGAGATGAGGATCTGCTGACGGTATCCGTCGGCGAGATCTTCCTGGAGTTCGTCAACATGCTGCCGGCCTTCCAGACGTACTGCCTACAACAGTCGGCCTCCGTGAACATGCTCAACGCGCTGGAGAAGGAGAAGGAACTGCTCAGGTCACAACTCAAGGTTTTTGATTGTGCGCCAGCGCTCAAGTTTTCTCAGGTTAAATAGAGCAAGCGTGAAGAAAACTGTTCTTTTGCCTTTTTTGGCTCACTGTGGAGATTTTCCTCTTCCCGCCGGTGTAATTCTTGACGTGGAAGGCGGGAACCTCATCATTAATTCAGAGGTTTTCTATTCCGAGCCATCTCTGGAGTCTCACTCTGCCTTTTCACATTTTTCAGGATCTTCCTTGACGTCTCCCAGAACGACAACACGGCGTTGCGTCGCATGAACCTGCGCTCCTTCCTCATGGCGCCTCTTCAGCGCGTCACCAAGTACCCTCTGCTGCTCAGCCGCCTCCTCAAAGTCACCCCGGAGAAGCACCCCGAATTCGGGCGGCTCCGCGAGGCCAAGAACCGCGTGGAGGCCCACCTGGAGCACATCAACACCAAGACCAAGCAGCAGGACGGCAACGGCATGGCCTCCTGGTCCCTGCGATCCTTCCGCCGCGACAGCCGCAAAAATCGGGAGCCGGTGGACGCCGAAATGCGGGAGGCGTCCATGAAGACCCTGGGTTGGACTCGGGAAGACACCCGCTTCGTCATGGAGGGCCCCTTGCAGCTCTCGCAGCCGGCCGACGGGCAGTGGGTGAAGAAGGGGAGCAAGGCGCTCAAGTTCCAGAACGTTCAGAGTCTGCTCATGGTGAGGACGCGGCCCGGGGCAGAGCAGGCGTGCGAAGCGGGAGAAAGCATCCAAGACGGAGTTCTGGTTCTGATCAAGGACAAGAGCAGCGGCAAGTTCGCCGTCATGCGTGAGCCCATCCGGCTGGCCAACTGCGTGGTGTCCATGGACCCCGAGTGCCAGGATACTTTCGAGGTTCTGGACATCCGGCGGGAGTCGTTTGTTTTTCGGGCGACGGACAAGTCCCGGACGCAGAACTGGTTCCACCAGATGAAGAGGTACGCTCGGGACTTGGGAACCTGGCGCAAGAGACGCAACGCTTTGCCCAATATCATGATCAACACCAATCAGAGTCGGTCCTGAGGGACGCAGTCCCAAGCGAGGCCTTTTCCTCCATCGATAAACCACCCCCAAAAACTGCAATGTGACACCATGCTGTTGCCTCAGCCGAGCCCCCCCCCCCCCAAAAAAAACCACCACTTCCAACATGCGACAAACCAAGAGAACTTTTTTTGTTGTTTTAGGTTTCCAAAGCGATGGGCGCACCGAATATTATGGCCATGTTGACAAATAAATCTACAGTACGATAGATATTAGATTTCAATGAGAAAATAGACGATTCAAATTTTAATGAGGGGAAAAATTAGGAGTTACAGGAGTCCTCTTAAATATCGTAGTCAAATGATTTTCTTTTCAATGTGGCCCTAATACTCCTTGATTGATGCGTCACAAAATCGAAATGCGCAGCTTTAGTAAATGATCAAAGATTTGATTGACCCCCCAAAATAATAATAATCTGAACTGTGGGTTGCGTGTCAGCCATGATTGTGAAGACTGTTTGATTTCCGTACATCTGTTAGGAGAAACAACTGAACATGACACCATTTTTGTTTTTTATAGACACGTGGGAATAACTGGATTTCACACACGGGACATGGTTGCTCTTTGTTTTATGTTTGTCCTTTTTTTGGGGGGGTGTATTTCGCTAACTAGTGCACCCTGGCATTCACTGCCACAGAAAAGGGAGCCCCCCCCCCCCGCCCCTTGACAGCAATAACCGGTCGTACGAGTAGACGCTTTCTGTCCCCCTTTTTTCTACATATCATGAAAACCCGTTTTTGTCTTTTCCTGTTCGGTTCGTCACAGCTGTTTGCGTGACTTGAGTCCCCGGTTCGAGGTCTGGTGTAATGACCCGAGGCAGGATCGGAGAATTGAAGTGGACCCTTTCACACTGCCCAGCAAAACCGTTTTGGTCAATGCGGACGAGGTGGAAATTGAAGTTGCCGCTTTCAAGTGGCAAACTGGACTATCAAAGGCGTAACGGTAGATTGCAAACAGCCTCTGAAAATATTCCCACTCTCTTTGTTTACACTCCTTTGTGACCATTCGCTTATTTCTTGACAATCGCCCCCCGTTTTTATGGTTCGATTAAAAAATATATATATATTAATACAGTACAGCATATATGGAGCCTCCAAAGCTGATAAAATGTGACATTTTCTTTCAAGTTTGATATCGTTTTGCGCGGGGCAAAAAGTCAAAAGTTGACTCACAGAAGCGGGACGTCAAGTTGAGAGTTCACACGGCGAGGAAAAGTGGCTGCAGTGGGCAGTGTAAAAGGGGCTTTTGTGAGGTTGGGTTAACAAAAATAAATAAAAAATGCTGACAAGAAAACGTGGACCCCGTCTATGGTCTGAGCCGCTGTGCCTTGGCTCTTGTATCAGCCTTTGGACAGACTTGGACTGCCCCCCCACCCCCCCAGTCGACCCCCTTTCGCCCCGACAGCCAATATTCAGCATATTCAGTACGTCCTCTGTGGCGAGAGCTTTATTTCGTTGAAAGCACTTTATCCAGCGATGACATCAAAGCGGAATATTTCAATGCTGTTAGTGTAGCTGATCACTGTGTACACCAACGAGACTGTGCTTTTTCTTTTCCTGCCGTATTCTTTCAACATGTAAAATATTGTCAATCATATTAAAATGTTGCAAACCGAGGTTTCGATGGCTTTCCTGCGTGTGTGTGGTTTGAAATAAAGAGCCGCCACAGGTTGTGTATACAAATATATTTACATTTTGCACACCATGGCAAACAAAACACAGCAAATGTGTAAAAAAACAACAACAAAAAAAAAACATAACAGTACAAAACATACCAGGTCCACTTTGGTGTCACTTTTTTTTTAGTGTTGGGGGGAGAGTTTTATAATCATATTTGTGTAGAAAAGGCCTAATAGTACCTGATAGAAAAAAAAGCAACATTGAAAAACTAAAAGTTGCATTTTTTTAAAGGGGGTGGGGGGTAGTATTAGCAGTGTTTTATGGAGGTCATATAACTAAAATTAAGGTAAAAATGGAATGGGAGGGTAGGGGGGGGGCAAGGAAAAAAAAATGCACCTCTGATGATCAAATTTTACTTGAAAACAATCCGCCTTGTAATATTCCAACGATTTTCATGGCATCCAATTTTCTTTTTCGTGTGTCTCCGATGCTTATCGGTAGTAACCGTGTACGATAACGTATTGCCAATTCACACCAACGGCATTACGGACACTTTTTGAGTCGCCCCTTTCACAATGTCCAATCATTGTTGTCCTCGTGTTGCCAGTCCGTGTGGAAGGTTGCGAATAGGAAAGGGGGGCTGAATCAAACCGTGGGGAGAGAAAAAAAAAAAAAACTTCCGGTTTTTGCCTATTTTTAAAAGCCATAATATCAGCCAATAAAATCGACCGCCCGGTTAACTGCCAGACTCTGGTCATTCTGACTTGTCAGAAGACATCTACAGTGTTGATTCCAAACTTAGCTTTGAACTGTTTTATCCGAGAATTGAAAACCGACAAAAAGATCCAACGAGTCTTACAATTATGACTGGTCAACAGTGTGAAAGGGGCTAATGTCCGTCCGAGGCGGGCCTTCAGTCAGATCCCGGTTCTCGGACTTCCGGGCACGTCAGTGTCCTGACGACGGCGCTTCCTATTGGTCGCTCTTGGCCTCCTTGGCGAGTCCGCGAATGGAGAGGTCGTAGACCACCTCCTCGATCTTCTTGACGTCGTACTTGAGGCCGTCGTAGCGTTTACGCAGGGGGTCGTTCTTCAGGTTGAGCAGGCGGAAGCCCGAGTCCAGGTCGTTGATGAAGTTGGAGATGCGCAGCGGGCGGTTGTAGTCGCCTGCCGTCACGCTGTTAACTGCCAAGCGTGACTGGCCAGGAAGTAGGAGGAACCAAAATTAAAGCCACGATGAGGGCGCCCCCAGCAGGACCAGAGGGCAAAAGGCACAATACGTTTTTTGTTGTTTATAGACTGGTTTAGTTTTTGCCGATAAATTATATTTCCTTCGATCCAATTCAAGATATCAATGAACAAAGTTGCAGCCCAGTCAAAGAATGAGTACGTTTTTAAATTTTCTATTTTATCATATGTCATTGGAAGGCCTAATTTTGAAGCGGCAATGGGCAAAAATGTGTTAATTTTTCAATGTTCATTATTTCAAAAACTTCCTATTAATTTCAATAATCAGCAATTATATTACAGAGGGGGCACCTCCTCTTTCCAGGAGGCTGCCATGTTTCGCCGCCATCTTTCTGCGACGGCGAAGGGAGTTCCTCACCATCATGACTACAGCGTGTTCCAAATGCCACGCACTTGGGACGAAAATTTTGCTTGCACCTCTGCTGAAGAAATTTGCGGTCGGCTTGCAAAGTGTGGTCTCTCTGAGGCACCAGACTGCGAGTGCTTCAAAATGCACGCACGGTTCGAGATTAGGTCGTTGCATTCTATAAATTCACCACTAGATGGCACGAAATTCTTCACACTGTACCTTTAAACAGATTGTTCAAGATTTCCATTGAGAGCACATGTAGAATCAATACTGCATTCTATTTTTTAATAGATTCTATAAAATGTTCAGATTTTTGCTGTATAGTTAAATAGTATGATATGGTAAAATAAATAAATATAAAATAAGACCTAATGATGCAATAGTAAATTTATTAATGTTTTACATTGGACTGGATTAAAAAAATGCACCATATTGGATCAACTAAAGAAATACAAACATTAAAATCCAAAAAGTATAACCACCTATGTTTATTTTACTAGCAACCTTCTAGGATTTATTAAAAGCTGAACTTGATTGCCCCCTGCAGCTGGGAAGACATAAACGCAAGCCAAGTTGACTCAGTGTATGCCGACTAATCTGATTTACTGGTCCTCAAATTCATGCTGAATATGCAAATGAGTTATGTCTATGCAAATGAGGCTTTTAAATGACTCACCAGTTCACTGGCCATAATCAGCACACCCGCCAGGTAGTCCTCCACATCCAGATGGAAGCCTTTGTCGCGCACCACCTCAACTGGAACACACACACACATATACACACAATGAGGGTGTGTGCCATGACGACGACGGCAACAACACGTACGGACAGACAGGCAAACGTGTACCTACTGTCCAGAATTTGTGCCACCTCCTCGCGGGTCACAAGGGCCTCACTTTCCAGGTAGACCACAAAAGCCGCCAGGAAGGTCAAACGCTGTAAGACGAAGCGCCAGTGCTCGTGAAACCTGTTGCAAAGTAAAAAATGTGGGTCCCCGGTGTGACAACAGTCCAGAACCACGTGCCTAACACAAGCTTTGCTTACACAAATTGTTTTGAATCAAAATATAACATTTTATCGAAACATTTTCGTCAAGAAATCCTGTTTTAATGGCACCGTATTGTGTTCACATGCGGAAATATATCCTCTTAAACCCACAAACAATTATAGCTTTTCTTTTAAAACAAAGGTGTTTTACAGGTAAAACGTTACTGTTCATAGACTAACATAGACTGTGTGCAGACACTTCAGTGGTGGTCTATGTACCTGTAATACTGGTCCACAGGGAACTTTGTCTTCAAGTCGGCAATGTGGGTCCGGACTGTGCCAAACAATTCTCTGGCCTTTGTACACTTATCAGGGACTGTTAGGAGACAAAATGAATATAGTTCATATTTGGAGGAAGGGTGGGGGGGGGGGGAACCTTGAGCTCCAACTTCAACAAAAACTGATGTTGGTGTTATTAACAGATTGAAATGAATTAATGGAATTTCCACTCATTTCAAATGGGAAAGGATATTATTTTTTTATACCTCTAAATTAAAGGTACATATGAAACAGGGAAGCAGAATACTCACTGTCTTTGAATCCAGACGGCTGGTGGACACTTTGGACAACAGTGAGGATTTCTCTGGCTGTCTGCTCCAGCACCTGCACCACTTTGCGGATTTCCTACCGTAAAAACACATCACAAATGTTGAAAGCAGCTAAACACACGTGACACTTGACGGCGGCTAACTGGCTAGCTCTTAAGAATTAGCCGTTAGCTCGCAGCCTTAACACGACACGGTTCTTTTTCTTACCTCTCGGACGTCTTGGTCGGCGCTCAAGAAGCCCTGGATGTAGGAAAACATGTCGCTGACCGACATGACGGAACTCTGTTATTAGCTACACACACGAGACAAGCCTTTTACTTAATTACTTTAAACGACGCTGTTTAAAACACAAGACAGTACCCGCGAAACGTCACTGTTGCGCATGCGCTTATGGAGCGTATTCTTCCAGAGGCGCTGAGAGATGGCGTCATAAACAAAATGATTATTATTGTTTTTTTTAATGACAAGAACAAACACAAGCAACTTGAAATCAAGTCTCAACTCAACTTTAATTGACTTTTTTCTCAGAATGTTTGTGTTTTGACACATCACTTGAAAAAGAATGTTTTTAAAATAATGTGATGTATATCTACTTTCTAAACCCGGTGCTAGAAACAAGAAAGCTCTCAAAAACGTCATACAATTTCTTACTTTTTATTTAATAGAGCTCCAACTTCTCACAAATGAATTCAATTGATCACCCCAAAAAAGTACAATACAGGACCGATGTTGTCTTCAGTGACAGTTCGTATTTGTGGAACATTGACTGGCGCTGGCTCGTCGTCACATTCTTACCACAAACACACGCACATATATCCATCAATCCATTAATTTGAAACCGCATTATCGTTACGAGGGTCTAGGGCTTACTGGAGCCTATCTCATCTGTCTTCCCCCAATATATATATATATATATAAATGTGAGGATAAACGTGGACAGGGGAAAATGGCGTCTTGTTGTGGGGGTATTTAGATTTCCTACGGTACTCTGAAGGCACCGCCGTCTGACTCCAGTCGCCTGTTGCTTGTGACGCTCCAGTCAGACTGACTCAAGAAAATCTGTCAACTCCTCCTGATTATTCCCGCCTCGTTGTGTGTTTTGGGACGAAAAAAATCAATGCCTCTCGCCACCTTCTACATTTATTAAATCCCCGCTTGAGATGGAAAAAAACTCCGCAGAAGATGAATGCGTGGATTCGGGAGCAGAAACTGCAGGGTGAGTAGCAAAAAAGAGGAGGAGAAGGCGAAATCACTACCAGATGCTCTACTGCACATGACAAAATGTATTATATACATGAGACATACGTGCTGGAAGTCACATGATTTTGACCTACTTGTGTTGTTAAAACGAATGTTTTTTTTCAGATATTAACAAATGGACCTCACGAGTGGTATGTAGCTGTTGTTCTAACCCCAAACAAACTAGAATGAATCATCTCATGAGATCCAATAAAAGAAAAAACTGACATTGATTTTCATGAAGTCATTTAGTTCTCTGCACGGAAATTACAATGAAATCCGTCCATCCAATGGCGCTACTTTTGCCCATTCAAAGCATGTAGCGCTTTTTCCCCCCACACTGGTTTTTAAATGGTAATTGAGTGAGTGAGGGTTAAAAAAAAAAGAATAGAAAAATATTTTTGAGATAATCACAGGCCTTAAAAATAATAATAAAATACTACTCCTTGAATGTGATTTTATGTTAAATATTTTTTTTAATTTCTCGATTTTAAAATTGATTGTTGTAAACATAATATCATCGTTCAAGTGGTTAAAAAAATCCCACCAAATATAAAGAACATTGTCGTATTGGATCTCATCAGATTACACATGCGTCCCTAATATTGTGGTAGATTAGATGCACATTGAGTAATCCAGATGACAGTGAGGATTAACATGTTCACTTTTCTATTAGCCACCCGTGTGTGTCTGCGTGTCTGTGTGGTAACGTCACCGTGAGCCTAACCTGCCTAATCTGTACCTGCATCGTGTCCATCGCAATTAAGGAATCCCCCCCAAATGGGATTAATGTCAGGGTGACTGGATTAAACGGCATCGCACTGTAGTTTACCACGGAACGTGAGAAACAAACGGGTGTAAACGGCAATGAGATGGAATGGGGTTACAAATACATGACAGGAGTAGCTCCTTGCAAGTTTCCTGTCAAAACCGCATTTTTCCACATTGCTGTTTTGTCTAAAGAGCCCAGGAATTTCCCGCCAGAGTCACACCGTTTCTCTGCATTTGGAGGTGATACCTCCCCTTTCATGCTGTCATGAAAATACGCGTACAAAGTCAACCAAGGATTGGAGTTTTTTTCAACGATACCTCGCTGTTCTGTACAGAGGCATTGACGCACAACGGGGGATACCATGTCAGCCCAGGAATTTGCCGCCACAGTCACGTCGTCTCTCCCACATTTTGATTCTCATCTCGGTTGCCAAAGTTGGCGGGAAAGCGGGAAGCAGATCAATCCTGAAATGGATTCCTGCTTTTCTCATCTTTTATTTGCATTTTGGGGACAATTTTGGACGGAGCAGCTTGAATGTTTAATGACAGGCGAGACTATTCCGGAGACGGGACCACACAGGAATTGAATATTTTGGATTTCAAAGGCCGTCCTTGCCTCAGAACGTCTTCCAAAAAAAGTGGAAGAAGAAGGTTGGTGTTGATCCAAAGCTGGCAGGTCATGCCAGAGTCAAGCCTCAAGTGTGTTGTTTTTTTTTTTTTGTTGCTGCTGGTGGCCATTATTGTCTTTGGACGTTGCCGACCGGCTCACTAAATTGCTTCTCTGTGCTCCAAATTGTCAGTTTGATGTCTTTTTATTGTCGTTTTTCCCTCTCCGCATCCTTCCCGTGCTCCATTTTATGGTTAGTGGCGTCTACGGACAGGAGGGAATAAATCATTTCGAGTGAAAACGCCCCTCAAAGGCATCGCGCTATCCGCTCTGACATTGGCTGGCGACCTCTCCATTGTTTGTCTTTGTGCCCTGACGACTACCGACCTTTCCGGGATGTAACCTGCTTCACTCTCTCTCCTTCCTTTTCCTGCGCCTTTTACGCAAAACTCATCCTAGAGTGTGTCAGTTCACACAGCCGTTGCGGCATCGTCGCATTCCGATAATTGGGTAGCGAGGATGACAATTGCTTTCGACACAGTGGCTCGTAATTGGTGCCCTAACTGGGAAGTGAGCGCGGGGCACCTGCATGAAAGGCATAAGCGGGTACCGCTACACTACCAGTTCAACGGGCAGAAGGTTCATTTAGTTTGAGTTTGTGAGCAAAGTTTGAGAAATTTGTGCTTTTGATTTGTTGGTATTTCACAACCGCTTTTAATATAAATGCTCTCTTTCTCCTTCATCCTCTGCAGGTCAGATTACAGTCCCTTGTCATCTACTAGCAGTAAGTACAACACGCAAACACACAAGCAGTCATTTAACCACAAAGCCATTACTCCTTTATGGGGAGGGGGAGGGGGGGTTGATTGGTGCTCCCGTAATTAATCCCCCTCAATGACATCAGTGGACGTGTGACGATGTGAGCAGGCCCACTCTTCAGTTTTGTGGGTCACGATGAGGATTAGAGCCAATAGCGGTCTGTTAATCTGCAACACAGGAAGTTCTACAGTGTGTGTGTGTGTGTGTGTGTGTGTGTGTGTGTGTGTGTGTGTGTCTCACATGGCCATGCAGCTAACGAGCAAAATACTGTTAATTATCACTAAAATGGCTGAAGCAGCAGCTCGTCGTGATATCTGGATTGGTTGAGTGTTACCATGGTTACAAGGAGCATCCTTGCGTCTCCTTGAGTTTATTAAGGGGTAGGATTAGACAAACTTTTGAGGCAAAGGTTTAAGAAGGACTGGGCAGAAGGTTTGGGGAAAAGTACAGATTGGATTCGGAACGTGTTTGGGCAAAGGTTTCGATGGCTTGAGGCAAAAGCTTGAGTAGAATTGGGGAAAAGTTTGATGGGTTTGCGCAAATATTTGGGGAAAGATCATTCATTCCGAACCAGCCAAACTTCTGATAGATAGGACTGGACTGAAAAAATAAATAAATGCACTAATAATAATAATAATAATAATAATGATGATGATAATAATTCAATATGAGCAAGTTTTGCGCAAGATTTGATTGTTTTGGCAAAGGCACACCGAGATACTCAACGGACTCATAACGTATATGCGCCAATACGTACGCAGTTACTCATGGCTATGTACACACACATAAACGCACACACAGAGTTCCTCTTGGCTGGCTTTGTGTTCAATGTTTGTTCTTTTCATATGACATCATCATGAGCTCTGCCAGAAGTGAACCGCAGTTTTAAAAAGACGGATTGCACCTGAATGCATCCCAGCTGTGGTGGGAAACATTCCTGCACTAATAAACTCCTAATGGCACTAATGAGGCTCCTCACGGGAGACCCCCACCCCCCCTACGTGGGCCTCTCAGAGAGGGTAAAGAACTGAACACAACTCAGGACTTGATTTAAGAGTACCGTTGTGTGTTTGGACTGTCTTCATTTTGACCAAAAGAAGACCCTGGTTAGTACCCGAAAAAGCTCCACAGCACGTCAAAAAAAAAAAAAAAAAGTAAAGATTGAATGAGGTCAAAGTTCAGAAGGTTGAACCAAAATTTGAGGTATATGTTTCAATTGATTTGGGCAAATTGTTTGGGGAGAACTGGCCACAGGATCGGGTAAAAGTTTGACGCAAAAGTTTCGAAAGTACCAAGAACTAAAAGTTTCTGAAACTTAGGTGGAAATGCAGATTTTTTTTTTTTTTTGTCGTATAGGCGACGTTTGGATGGGCGACCTACAGCGGGACCCCTTCCTGGTGAGCGTGCACCTGATCGCGGACCCGGGCGAGGGCGACGTCCTTCAGCGGGCGGCAGACAGCGTGCTGGCGCGGCTCCACCCGGAGCTGCAGCTCTTCAGGGTGTCGGAGCGCGCCGCTTCCTGCGAGCGTCCCCGACCCAAGCACCACCACGGGTACCAAGGGGGTGCTCCCCAACCGGCACTGGCGGTCATTTTATTCCTCCGGGAGGGCAACGGTGGCGGCCAGGAGCTGGCGCATCCACCTTGGCGCTACCATCACAGCGAGGAGGTGAGCGGAGGGCGGCGCTTGGGAGCGCCGTCCACGCAGGATTTTTTCACGCTGGGGTCCGGCACCCCCTTGTGGGCTTTGAGGAGGGTGCGCTACGGTAAAGGGACGCTAAGGTTGACGCTGTACTGTTGCCATGACAACTACGCCCACACGGTGCGGTTGTACAAGCTTCTGCTGGGCCGCCGGCTGGCCCACAAAAAGCACGACTTCTGCTTCCTGGTGGTCTACGCCAACCCCCACTTGGAGGTCCAGATGGCCTTCCGGAGGCTGCCCAGGGGGAGGCACCCGACCCCGCTGGACTCGTCGGTGGTGGAGGTGAGGGTGCGAGACGTGGGCGCCCTGGTGCCGCTCCTGCCCAACGCGTGCAGGCCCATCAGTGACGTGAGGTGGCAGACCCAAGACTACGACGGGAATAAAATTCTACTGCAGGTCAGAACCTGGTGTGAGGTCTTTCATTCGCTTTTGTCTTATCTCCTCTTCTTTGTGGCTTCCAGTTTTCTCTTCTCTGGTCTTCCCTTCCACAGCCGGCCTTGATATACCCGGTCTGGCTCCTACCTACTCCGGTTGTCGCTGGGATCCTCATCTTGGCTTCTTTCCTCTCGTTTTCTGCTCGTTTCCTCTTGTATTTTTTTCTCATCTGCCCTCTTGGCTAATTTACTCTGATTTTGTCTTCTCTTGTTTCTTATTTACTTACTGGGAGATCCGTTTGGAAAGTTGAATCAGATTAAGCATCGGTCCATTAGTGCCATTAGAGGCTAACAAAGTGCTAATGTGTGCTGACAACCATACTTAAGTCACCAATGCTCTTAAGGCCCTTTTAAATTTACTGGAAAGTTGGTGCGTCCTTGACAATGGCTTTCAACAAAGAGAACTTTGGTCATAAACTTCACACTCTGGTAAACTGTTACCCTTTCATACGGATACTAAGTCTCAGGAAATTAATCCGTTTTTTTCTCGTGTCCTTTTGAGGTCCAAGCTGCTCACCGGCGCCGTTGCCATCATCATCCCCATCGGGCAGCGCCCCGCCACAGGGTCCTGCATCATCAGGCGTCCCTACGCTCCCTCCCGTTATGCAGCGAGGACGACTTCTATCCTGAATGGTTCCATCCCTCGGAGGGCCAGGGGAGGGGCGTCCGCTCCGAGTCGCTTTACTCGCTGCCCAACCTTAGCTCTTCGCCGGGACCCCCGGCCAGCTCGCCTCGCCGGGACCGTCGCAGCCGCTCCCTCCAGCGGAGCGCCTCCCTCGTCCCTCCCTTTCGCCTCAATGTGGACGCCCTGGTGGGCGCCGAGGAGACGGATGTGGACACGGGGACCACGGTCCGAGTAGGCGGCGTGGACCTTAGCGTGGTGTCGGCTTACGTCCCGCCGGCGTCCCACTTCAAGCATCTACATCCAGAAGGCAAAACGGCCCCGCCGGAGCGGACAAGGGACAGGAATTTCTCCATGACGTCACTCAATGGGGACGACCATGAAGCGCTTCTAGATGGACATGCAGAGGAAGACGTCGAGGAATTCTACATTTGACGTGTAGCAGTATTCTCCCCTCTGGGGCCCAGGACTAAACTGTGGACTATTTTTAGACTGCATGGATTATGTCTTTGTTCTGTTTAGTTGTATTACGCAGGGGGGCACTAATCACGCTTGGTTTGGAGTATTTTCTTTAACGTGTAAATTCATATTTAAATAACTTCATTGTGTTTACACTTCATGTACAAGTAGAGCAAAAAGGGTTTTTTTTTCATTTGACAATAAAAACTTTTTTACATACTTTGGCCTGATGCAGAATTAACATGGACGGAAAAATAATCAAATAAAATAGCTATAATATACAATATTCATTCCGGTAACACCAGAGAAGTACATTCACTGGACACTTCATTAGGTACAAATGTCAATCAAAAGCGAGCACTGTATGACAATCTGCAGAATTCTTACACCGCATCTTATTGTGCTAATGCAATTAATAAAGTGTCCAGTGAGTGTAAACACATGAATAAAAGAAGAAAATATTCATTCTTTTTTTGGCTTTGAGGTCGCAACCAAGTGTATGGACGTGCTCTGCTGCCCTCTTGTGTTTACTTTGTGACTTGCACTTCCTCCTCAAGTTGTCCATCAGTTGGGATGGACTTAAAAACCATGAGCTGAACATGGAGTCAACCTCAGGTGATTTGGCAGCTGTCAATCGTCCCGGTATAAATACAACTCTCTAGTGGCACAATCCACAGAGAGCCATCATTTCGTCTCTGGAACGTTCCACCATTTTGCGAGTGGCACTCAGAATGATCCAACATTTAGTCTGTGTCACCGCAAGGTTCCACCATTTTGTCAAGTTAACTTTTCACCATTTTGTCAACAAAATGTTACGCCAATTTGTCATTGAATCATTCCACTTTTTTGTCACTGGAACCTTCTGCCATTTTGTACATGAAAGGTTTCCATCATTTTGTCACCGGAACAGTTCCCATTTCATTACGAAAACATTCCATCATTTTGTCACTTGATCATCCCATCATTTTGTTACTGGAACGTTCCACAATTTTGTCAGTGAAATAATTCCATCATTTTGTCAAAGGAACGTTCTGCCATTTTCTATGTGAAACATTTGTACCATTTTGCCACTGGAACGTTCCGCCATTTAATAAGTGAAATGTTTTGACCATTTTGTCACTCTCATTCCACCATTTTGTCACTAGGACCTCCTACCAGTGCGTCAATGGAACGTCGCTAGAACGTTCCTTCATGTCAGTTTGTGGAGCGTTCCATCATTTTGTCACTGCAACGTTAGGCCACTGCATCAACCTCACTGGAACGTCCCCCATTTCGTAACATCACTGGAACGTTGCACCATTTTGTCAAGCTCATTGGAAGGTCTCACCGTTTTGTCATCCGCACTGGTAGTCAACCTCCCTCAAAGATCCCAGCATTTCGTCAACCTCCTGCGAATGTTGCAATCATCTTGTCCACGCCACCATATTGTCGGGGCATTTCTTCATGGTCGCTGTGAGTCAGAGTGCTCCACCAGCTTCCCGAGCATGGCCAAGAAGGCCTGGTTAAAGGCGTTGGTTGCGTCCAGCTCCTGTCTCCTGAGAGCTTCCTCCGTCTCCCTGGATAGTCTCATCTCCTCCAGGGCCAGCTGGAAGTGTTCAGCCCGCTGCTGTAGCTGAAGCTCCTGAAGGCGGACGGCGCGCTCCTGCTGCGCCTCCTCGACGCGGTGGTGAACCACATCGGCCGAGTGAATCTCGCGCAGGACGGCCACCAGGTCAGAGTCGCGCGGCGTCCGCCGACGTCCATCTCGTGAAAACACGAGAAGATGAAAAGTACAAACGAAATCCGCACAGTGCAATTTTGGACCGTGTTACAGCTAACTACCGTTGCTCCTGTTTGAATAATGATGTAAGTTGCAGCTGCATGACTTACTGCGCTTTGGCGGTGAAAATTCCGGAACGCTGACATCATCGTCTTCTTCTACGTCGGAGTCCACCTCGGAGTGTTGTGACAGGATGGGCATGGATTCTGGAGGCACCGCAGAGTCGCCTTTAGGGCTCAAAGTGCTGTCCTCCAATGTAGGGCTTTCCAATGTTGGGCTCAACTCTTCAAGGAATTCAGTTGAATAATATATTTTTTTTTAAACAAAAAAAAGTTTCATTCATTGGAAATTATTAAAAAGAGATAAACATATCTGAAAAAAATGTAACATAAGTGAGAATTGTCCATTAAATAATTGAAACGGAAGTAAATTGGTTTAAAGTGTCCAGCATACCGTCGGCGATGATGACTTCCAGGAAACTGGAGTCGTCCCTGAGGCGGTTGCCGCTGTCCCGGTCCCGGTGTCCATAGATGGCGTCCATATGTCCGAACCACTTCCAGCTCTTGCGGTTGGAGCCTCCGCGGCAGTTGTTGTCCTTGATGGCCCGGTAGTCGCTCTTGAGTTTCTTGAGCTTCTCGCGGCACTGGCGGAAGGTCCTCTCGTAGCCGAACGAGGCCATTCGCTGGGCCAGCTCGCGGTACACCTTCTCGTTGCGAGTGCCGTCCAGCTCCACTTGGATCTTCTCGTCGGCCACCAGCATCAGGAACTGCGTCACCTCGCTAACCGACCACGGGATGGTCTTCTGCGGCGCCATCACGGGGGGTGAAATATCACCGAAAGAAGGACGACGTGGAACAATTAGGCAGCGAACAGATTCGTAGTTGATTGGACTCCACTGGTGTAAATAATAATCGACTACGGTCGCGCGGTGATGACGTAATGTGTAGATTTTTTTCCACCAATAAACGACTAAGGCATTTTGACGTCACATCTACGTTTAGAAATATATCCGCACTTGAGCTTTACGTGTGATGATGTCACGCCAAAATTAAATATATTTTATCGAAAAAAATAGCATCCATTTATTGAGTCATATTTATTGTTCCTTTATTTAATCACTGTCTTATTCATTAATGTATTGAGTCCTTATTTTCTTATTATTCACGTATTGAGTCTTTTTTTTAATTTATTGAGTCGTTTTTTGTTTTTTTATTAAGTTGTAGTTATTTATTTGTTGGCATATTTAATTACATTTTTATCATTTGTGTATTCACAATTTTATCTTTTCAGTTAAGATTTGATTAATTTTAATTACATATTATTTTCTTAATTGATGTTTTATGTATTCCTTTATTTAGTGTGTTTTTTCATTTTTCAGTTATTATCGTGCCATGTTTATTTATTGATTGAGTCTATTTCATTGTCCATGAGTTATTTGTATTGATATATTTTTCAAGTCTTATTCATTTATTCATTGATTGCTTTTGTCGTTGAGTGAAATAAATAAATCCGTCACAGGGTCAAATGGTCACACTGGTGCAAAAAAAGAAAAAAAGTTAACTGCAAATGCAATGCTGAACGGTAAACCAATAAGTGAGTTCACATGAGGACTTTTGAAGCATTTGTTTGAGAATGGTTGGACATTAGGGAGGCAGCGCTTCCCATTAAATATGTGTTGACGTTCCCACCCGGTTTGGGATTTGTCCTTACTCGTTCCCATGCTCCTTTTCCCGCCACGCTCTTGTCGCCGTGATGCGGAGCTGGCGTGGGGCAGCTCCACCACGTCTAATCCTCGGCGGCGTACCTGGCACATCTCGATTGCGATGCCGGCCCGCCGTCACCGGCCAGCGGTCACCCCTAATCCACCAGCATCTAGGCCACTCGGAACAATGTCGGTGCTTCCACCACAACTTTAGGCACTATCGCTTTAACGCTTCCAAAACAGACCAATGTGTCTTTGATGTTTGTAAAACATGGTTCATTTAAGACTCTTCTGTGTTCATGAAAACACACATACTTTACACTGATTAAGTCTTTGATGTTCATGAAAATATGTGGGTTAGGTTCCTTGAGGACTCAAGTGTCTTTGATGCTTATGAGAACATATATGTCAGGTTGAGGGAAGGCTTCACTGTCTTTGGTATTTATAAAGGCACGTATTTGGGGTTCATTGAGGGTTGCATTGTCATTGACATTTATAAAAATGCATTTTTTGTTTGTTGAAGGTACATATAACAAACTAATAAAACAACAAAAGCAAGTCAAAACGGTAAATTAAAACACAACTGACTCTCTGGTCATTTGCAAACGAGGACGAACGTGTCTTTCATGGTCATAAAAACATGGATGTTTGGTTCATTTTAGACTTATTCAATGTGGACAAAATCTTAGGATATTATGTCCTGAAATTCGTGTGAGCGTGTGTGCACGTGTGTATGGAGTTGGAAGGGATGAATGAACAGGAGGGCGGGGTCTTCTTACTGGCCCCGCCTACCCGGCGCCTCCTTGCGGCCGCGGAGGACGGCGCGCACCCTCAGCCGGCGGGTGGGCGGCTGGTACGGACGTCGCCGCCAGAGTCCGCCACCGCCGCCGGCGGCAGCAGCAGCTCGGAGCCGAGGGTCCCCCCTTTTAAGTGGTCTCATGACTCAGTGCGGGAAACAGTGGACGACTGCGAGCAGGAAGCATCCCAACACTCAGAGGTACTCCTTTCTTTCATGAAATCGCATCTTGCGTCTTTTATTACATGCTCAGAGTAAATGACAATATGTATGAAGATTAAGGAGAATGAATATGCTCTGCATGTCTCACTGATTCGTTAGCGACACAATCTAAAGAGTTTGTCATCATCTTTATTATTATTATTATTATTGTAAGGTGACCAACGTAATTGTTCATCATGAGTTAGTACAAAAACAAACACCTACTAAAATATACATAATAATAGTCAGATTTCTTCCAAAAATTTGACATCATTTGCTGGTGTATTGTATATTTACTGTCAGGATTTAGAAAAAAAATTGTATCTCTACTATGAGCATGTAAGTCTTTGAGGGCCACATGCAGAGAAATGTAAGGGAGAAAGGTTTTATTAAACACATTAAAAGCAATCAAGCAATTCTGTATTGTAATTATTGTTGGGTTTTTGTGTTTCTTTATTAGTTATCTTTAAGTGCTTAAGGTGATAGTGCAAAGAGTTTGTGATTTTGTCTTTACCCTTTTAGTTGTAGTTTCTTTGCAAATCTAGAAAAGCTGAACAAGTCCAATTTATGATTAGTAGTAGTAGCTGTCAGTAAGTGTGGGTGTCCCCCCACCCCCACACACTTTCTCAACACAGTATGGTATAATTAAATAACTGGTGAGTCTCCAAACGATCATGTTACAATACGTGCCATCGCACCACCGTTTGTATGTGTCACATACATATTATCAATTACGTGAAAGTGTAATATAGTGTACAAGATCTCACGGACGCTCAGAGCAAAATGCACTGGAAGCAAAGTCATTCTACGTGCTCTGATGCAATACTTTTGCACACTCATATAACTGATTTGCATGTAAATAGTGAATGGAATTTTTGTTCTTTTTCCAGGACTTTTGAACACTGAAATGTATTGGCTCCCTGCGTCCGCCATTTTGGCTCTACTCTGCCTGGTGCCCCCGGTCCACAGCACCGGCAGCCTGCAGGCCGGCCTGAGGCATCGACAGGGCAGCTTCGCCATGGCCTTGTACCGCGCCGCGGCCCAGGGCCGCGTCGACACCAATCTGGTGGTGTCGCCGTCCGGCGTGGCGGCCGCCCTGGGCCTACTGCAGCTCGGCGCCCGGGGCAACACCAGGGCCCAGCTGGAAGCCGGCCTGGGCTACGACGTCAACGGTACTGTACTGACCGGCCAGCGCCGTTGGTGCCAGGCGGTGTGGAGTGGCGGGGTTGCGACGCGCCCGAGGAGGGTTCGGAGCTGTGATACCCGCCTCCACGCACCGAACCGTTAATCTCATTACGCACACGCCTGCTTGGAAGCCGCAGGGTTAAGAGGTCAGCGCGGTTAATTACAACCAGGGCGAGAGCTGCCAGTCAACAAAATCTAACGTCATGCTTCGCAATGACTACAACTGAAATGTTTTGTGACTCGGCATCATACATCTCCCTAGTATGTGTGCTTTGACAGAAAAATAATGTTTGAGTCGTTCGTCTTGGGAACTGGCCAAAAGCGACCCTAAACCAAAATGGCAGAGTTCCTGTGTCTATTTGGGAATAGCATGTTGTGAAATGAATTTCACTTTTGGGGGTAGAATTTCACCCAAAACAAATAAATAAATTTAAGGACCCCAAGAAATAACCAAAATGACCAATAAATGGAAGTTTTAAACCAAAATGGCAGACTTCCTGTGTATATTTACGTATATCTTCCTGCGGCTTTTTTTGTGGGTCTGTACATGATAAATATATCTCCTAAATTTCACGCTGCCAAGGAAAACTGGCTTCAGGGTTTGTACTTCCCAAGAAATCTAGAACCTTAGAAATATCCGTGGTTACCCTAAAATCTAACTTGAAAGCAAAATGTTCCATTTGCTTGAGGTGTCTTTTTGGGCACCTCTTAAGAATGTTTTGTCAGTACAGTCATTATAGACATTTACCAAAATTGTTGTAAAGTGAAATTGTTTTTTCGGGCTGAATTTCCAAACATTTCCGGCCACCTGGAAAGGTCCATGGTCATCCTAAAAGCCCACTTCAAATCAAATACTGTAGTCCTATTTCGTGTATCTTTTTGGGCATGGTGTCTTCAGACTTTTTTTGTGCATCAACCCATGACAGACATGACTAGCGAATTTCATAATGATCGGTGAAACAGGCTTCAAGGGCTGAATTTTCCAAAACTGTTTGCCTGCAGATGGTCACGTTCGCGAGCTGCTGCTGCAGTGGCAGGCCGAGGTGAACAACAGCAGCAGTCCAATGGCATCAAAGGAGGCGTGGCTACAGCAGACATGTGTCTTATTGGTGCAGAACAGCATTAAACTCGACACCGGATTCGCGCATAAGGTTGAAACCTGGGCTGATGTCAGTGTGATGAGAGATCACCAGCAACAGAACAACAATTCACGCAAAGGTAATGCTCACAATTAGCATCTTTAGGCTAACAAGTAGCATCAAGAGGCAAACAAGTAGCGCGTTAATGCTAATCGGTAGCATCATAAAAGCTCTCAAGTAGAATCCACGAACTAACAAATAGACTCGCCATGTTAAAAAGTAGCATCATAAAGCTGATATCCACCAGGCTAACAAGAAGCACCCCTGGGCTACCATCAAGCATCCTTTGGTTGTCATAGTAACATGTTAAGTACTGAGCATGCTCAATGGTTCCCTGTGTCCAGATGAGGCGTGGCTCCCCCTACAGGCAGGAAGCAGCAGCGGCGACCTGTCTGGATCTGGTGAGGCTCAACAGGCTGAGGCTTCCACATTGTTATCATCGTCATCGTTATCGGCATCGCAGTCTTCCTGGCCATCCGGCCAGCAGATGGCACTGTTGAGCACGGTTACGTTCAGGGGCATGTGGCAAAAGCAGTTTCACGCTGTCAACACGCACAACCTCCACTTTCTGCTCGTGGACGGCACCACTGTCAAAGTACCCATGATGCACCAGGCTACTGAGGTTCGCTTTGGTAGGTACCCACGCTGTCAATGCTAGTTGTGAGCCAAAGTGATGCTAGTGTTTACTCCAAGGATAAGTTATTTGCCTGCAGTATGGATTCTACTTGGTTGTCTGTAGATGCTATTTGTTAGCCTAACGAAAATGTTTTTACAATTTTAATTAACGATAAAATCATGGATGTCTGAAGTTATACTAGCCACGAATCTAAATTGACAGTTTTATCTTTCTGTTCAGGTCAATTCCAAACATCGTCTAACCAAAGGTACGCGGTCCTGGATCTTCCCTACTCTGGTTTGTCCCTGAGCCTCCAGGTGGTCCTCCCTTCAGACCGCAAGACACCTCTGTCTTCCCTGGAGGCTCAGCTAAGCTTTCGCCACATGGCCTCTTGGGAGGCCGGCCTACGCAGGACCAGGATGGACGTCTTCCTGCCCAGGTGACCAATCGCCGGGCATGATCATCGCGACAAAATTTTTTTGGCGGTTGTCAGAATTTGTGCATGCTTAGGTTCAAGATGCATAACAAATTGAACTTGAGGTCCACGCTTCCTGCCATGGGAATCGGAGACGCCTTCAACCCGTCGGATGCTGACTTTTCTGGGATTTCAGGTCTGTGCGCCCAGGCTATGCGTCTACACCTACTACATGACAGCGGTTCCAAAAAGTTTACTGTTTTTTTTTTTTTCTGTGCACAGCCGAGGACTCGCTCTACGTGTCCGACGCCTTCCATGACGTCACCATCGAAGTCACGGAGGAGGGAACCAAGGCGGCCGCCGCCACAGGTATGTGTAGACGCCATGGCATAGCCAGAATTAAAAAAGATTTATTGTCCACATATTTCTGTCGTGGCACACATCTGTTTTGAAAAATCAGGGGGGGGGTTGTTTATCCTGAAATTTCAGGGAGTTTCCACAGGAATATTAAAGGTCATGTCAATGGTGTCACGGCATCGCCAGAACAATGTATTTATTTTTTTGGGACTCGGACCACGCCATGTTAATATTTAATGTATTTACGGTTATTTTCATATAAAATGCCAGATCAATTGAACGGTTTGTTGTTTAAAAAAAACAAAAAAAAGTAAAATGATGTCATGTTCCAGCCATGGTGCTACTGAAGCGTTCCCGCTCTCCCGTCTTCAAAGCAGACCGGCCTTTCCTGTTCTTGCTGAGACACATTAAAACAGGTACTTTGTTTTTATCGGTTAGCTCATTGGTTATCAACACGTGGCTGACAGTACTTCACTTGAGCTTAGTCTCATACTACCCGATTAGAATTTGAAAAACTATATGCACAATGATACTTTGTCAAACTATGCCCTTGGGGATTGTGGGTAATGTAGAGTCCTTAAACAGGGTTGAGCCTGTCTTCCTGACAACTTTATTTTTCCAACAGGATCCATTTTGTTCATGGGCCGAGTGATGAACCCCGCCGACCAATTGCTATGAGATGTTTATAACATGACACGCACACACATTTATATATACTGTATATAGATAAATACTTTATTAATCCCGAGGGAAATTACAACACACACAGTATTTATTTGCATGCACTTCCGCAAGAGGGACAATATTTTTTGTAAATGTGTAAATAAAATTTTAATAATTTTTTTTTTTTTACACTTGACGTGCCATTTTTCCCCCTTTTTTGTGGCTCTCTATTCTTTTCACCCGGAAAAAGTGTTTTTCGTGATTTTTTTTCAAAATATTTGTTACCAATAAAATATTAAGAAAATTGTATAAATGTATATTTTTGTATATCAGTCTTTATTTCTAATTTTAATGATTTTATTTTCTGAATATTTCCCAACATTTTATTTTAACTCAATTTTGTTTTGTATATTTCAATAAAATATATATCCATTTTAATACTCACAATAAGGTTTTGATATAAAATAATTGCTATTGTATATTTCTTAGTTTTTATTTGAATTTCAGTTTTATTTTGGGAAAAAAATGTATAACATTATTCAAGTATTTTCTTTTTATTTTGACTAATTTTATTCTGCTGACACAAAAAGACTTAATTTTTTGTTTCAATTAACATTTTTATTTTCATTAAAATTTCCAAAGATATTTTATTCAAAACTATAAAATAGTAAATACATGTAACGTGTTTTAGATTAGATAATCTTCTGAATTCAAATTTTTACTTTGATAAAACATTTAAAAAATAGTGGCAACTTGTTGATGTTATGATTTTTATTTTTCTCCCCCAACCGACAAATCGAGACAGAAAGGTACGCGTCTTTAGCAAGACTTTATTAAGACGGTGGCCGTTCACAGTGTAAAATAGAGACTTTTATTCATGGAAATACTTACAAAAAGGCCATTATTATTTTCTCCATCACGACATCATCTTTTAAATATTACTCTAGAATTATGTACAGCTTTACAGTGTATTCAAAATACTCTTTTGGTAGCCTGCTCACAAACAAATAAACACACCTATGGCAGATTTTGGTCCATGTTGGAAAGCAAATGATTTTTTGCGTGGTTTTAGCGATCACGGAACCCGCCCAAAGAAATTACAAAGCAAATCACGTTAGCGTGGTTTGGAGCGCTCGGGACCGTCCAAAGAAATTGCAAAGCAACTTATGTATGGTTTGGATATTTCAGAACCCGCCCAAAAGAAAATCACATCTACAACCAGGCACTCTTTTCAATGACATTAAATAAGTCTGCAATTGTACACAAGTGCATGTGAATTCAAGATTAAATGTCACTTCCTGAGCTTTTTGTCCCTGTTAAACAACCGCCAACCAATCACATCACCTCGTTTGTTTCTGCTCACCAAGTGGCACGCATAACACAAGTCAGTCGTCGATCATTTGTTCCACGGTCGCCTGTTGGCAAATTGTTTGCTCTTGGGTTGTCCATTGGTGACCGGTCAGCTGTGAGTTGGTCACTTGTCTCCTTGTCGCGAACAAGTTGGTCTCAGTTATTCGCCAGTCAACCAGTTATTTTGATTTTTGTTTTGAAGTTGCCAGCTGCTCATTTGCTCTTTGGTTTCCCATTGGTCAACCATCAGGTCAATAGCGAGTCACCAGCCAACCACTTTTCGGTCAACTGTCTGCCGCCCACGGATTGACCACCAGTCTAAAGCACAGAATTGGTTGATTGCAAGACATGAGTTGGTCAAAATTCTGGTCACCCATTGGTTGACCACCAGTCTGTCACTCGTCCACTGGTCACCAGTGAACCGCTTGTCAGATGTCGGTTTGCCTTTGGTCAACCATCCGTCGCCTGTCAGTTGAGCACCAGTCTTAAGACATCCGTGCTCGTCACTAGTCAGTAACATGCGAGACATAAGTTACCATTGCTCGACCAATTGGTCACCTGTTCACCAGTCTGAAAGTTGTTTGTTCATCACCATGTAGTTTTCGGCTAGACATCAATTACCATCTGTCAACCGTCGGTTCACCTTGCGTTGTCTGCGACTCCTCGGTCAATTGCTCGTCAGTCACCATTTTGGCCAACCACGTGTCACCATTTAGTTGACCATTGGTCTGAGATCGTCGGTTTGCATATGAGACATAAATTGCCCTTCGGTCAATGGACAGTCACCAGTCGGTTGACCACCAGTTGCTTGCAACACATAAGTTAGCTTCAGTCAACACATGTTGGTTGGCCACCAATGTCCACGACCTGTCCGAGTTACCCTCTGTCAACCGTCCACTTGGTGGATCACCAGCCACGCGCTCGTCAAGCGTCAGTTGCCAGTCAGCAGTGGGTTGATCAACAGTCAGTTATTTATCAGACATCAGTTTGCTCTTTGGTCACCAGTCTGTTGAGCACCAGTCTGAGACTCAGCCTGTCGGTCACCAGTGAGCTGCTTCCAAGACATCAGTTAACTTCGTTCAACTAACCGAAGCCCGGTTCGTAGATCATCAGCAAGCAATTTGCCCAACAGTTTTCTGCCAGTCAGTCCTGTCAATTTCTTTGTCGGACCATTAACAAGGAGTGTGCTTGTATTTGGGTTTTTACAAAAAAAAAAAAAAAAAAAAAAAAAAAAAAAAAAAAAAAAGGGGGGGGGGGCACACAAGGGCATACGAGTGCTCCGTAAGGTTCTGGATTGGCGGGGTGATCTTGGTTTCACAGAAACCACAACCCATTTGTGCCAATGGTCCAAAATGTCATGGGAAGCCGTCACGTCCGTCATCGTGGAACGGCGGAAGTACTCACGTCATCCGGGCTGAGAACCCACACATCTGACGTGTGCGTGTGGTGACTCAAAAATATCAGTCCTCTTTGTTAGTGGGTTGGTTAGAAGTTCAGCTGAGGGGAGGGGGATGGGGGAGGGGGGATACGGCGTCGGTCAGAGTGCATCTACGTGGTTCATGTTGGACCTGTTGTGGATCTCCTCCAGCAAATTCTCCAGCTGCTCGATCAGAACACGCTTCTTGAATCTGGAAAACCAAATTACAATGAAAAATAAAAACTTGCACAACACAATGAAAAAAAAAGGAATAGAAGTAAAAAAACTCAGAAAATGTGTTTGCATAAGTGTGCACACTCTCTTGAGGCTGTGGCTGTTGGGAATCAACCAATCACATTCAAACTCACGTTAAAGCGGAGTCAGCCTGTAATGAATCGCTAATAAAATCCAGATGTTCTAGTAGGCTTTTGATTTCGAGGGATTGTGCAAAGAGAAACGGCCAAAGATCCCGCTTTATGTATTCTCCAAACTTGTGAAGCATGATAGAAGATGAGGTGCCGTTTTGTTGCCAAAAGTGGGTTGTACAAAGTATTCACATCAGGGTGCTAGTAAATGCGGCACAGATGATTTGATGGAAAAGAACATCCTCAAAAATTGATGAAAAGATGAAAGGAAACCTTCTCCAGTTTTGTTATCACTCCATTTTTCACCTCACTATAGTGGCAGTGTATCTAAACCTTACTATTAAAAAGGAAAGAAAGGAGAAAAATCACCCGGAAATTGTTCAAAAAAACCTTGTGAGTTGAGATATCAGGAAAGAAAGGAGAAAAATCACCCGGAAATTGTTCATAAAAACCTTGTGAGTTGAGTTATCAATTAAAAAAAAAAAAAAAAAAAAGAACCTGGCTGCCTCTTTGATGATATTTTGGAGGAAAATGAGGCGCGTTTCCAAGGTGCCTTGGATCTGCTTCAGGAAGTAGAAGATCTTCTCATAGTCTGGAAAGAAGCAATGAGTATTTGTTTGGGAATGAACAACAACAAGCAAAATGTCAACAATCCTTGAGTGGCGTACGTCTGCCAGGCTTCCTGATCTCCTTGGTGATGAGCCCCCTTAGCTCGTTGTTGACTTTGGTGGTCTCGTTGTGGATGTGCTTCTTCAGAGCGGTGGGGGACAGGTACCGGGGAGGGTGTTCCCCCACCAGGATCACTTCCGCTCCAACCTCCTCCCCTTCCTCACCCAGCTGACCGTTCTCCTCCTCGTTGTCCCGGCGCTGGCCGTGCTGCGAGTCTGAGTGGTTTTCCTGTGGGTCGGCGGGACCCAAAGGGTCAGAGTCGGAGCTTGGGTCCAGGCTGCTGCAATGGTTCTGATTGAGGTGGTTGATGATCAGGTCTGGTTCTCCGTCACTCTCACCCACGTCTGGAAAGATTTTGAAATGAGTTTGTGAGTGGTGTGATACAGTAAGTTATTTTTAATACACAAGTAGATTGTCACCAACCATTTTAAAACAGAGCTATTTCTTGGGTACTGATTAATGCAAAAGATTGCCAGTTTGAAACATGCTTCTGAAATAATAACATTGCAATTGATGAAAAGATGAAAGGAAACCTTCTCCAGTTTTGTTATCACTCCATTTTCACCTCACTATAGTGGCAGTGTATCTACACCTTACTATTAAGAAGGAAAGAAAGGAGAAAAATCACCCGGAAATTGTTCAAAAAAACCTTGTGAGTTGAGATATCAATTAAAAACAACAACAACAACAACAACAACAAAAAACAGTACCTGGCTGCCTCTTTGATGATATTTTGGAGGAAAATGAGGCGCGTTTCCAAGGTGCCTTGGATCTGCTTCAGGAAGTAGAAGATCTTCTCATAGTCTGGAAAGAAGCAATGAGTATTTGTTTGGGAATGAACAACAACAAGCAAAATGTCAACAATCCTTGAGTGGCATACGTCTGCCAGGCTTCCTGATCTCCTTGGTGATGAGCCCCCTTAGCTCGTTGTTGACTTTGGTGGTCTCGTTGTGGATGTGCTTCTTCAGAGCGGTGGGGGACAGGTACCGGGGAGGGTGTTCCCCCACCAGGATCACTTCCGCTCCAACCTCCTCCCCTTCCTCACCCAGCTGACCGTTCTCCTCCTCGTTGTCCCGGCGCTGGCCGTGCTGCGAGTCTGAGTGGTTTTCCTGTGGGTCGGCGGGACCCAAAGGGTCAGAGTCGGAGCTTGGGTCCAGGCTGCTGCAATGGTTCTGATTGAGGTGGTTGATGATCAGGTCTGGTTCTCCGTCACTCTCACCCACGTCTGGAAAGATTTTGAAATGAGTTTGTGAGTGGTGTGATACAGTAAGTTATTTTTAATACACAAGTAGATTGTCACCAACCATTTTAAAACAGAGCTATTTCTTGGGTACTGATTAATGCAAAAGATTGCCAGTTTGAAACATGCTTCTGAAATAATAACATTGCTCAAATAACCATTCATTTTATTATGAATGATATTCATCCGTGTGAAGACAATGATGATGATGATGAATGATTTCTACTAAACTTACAAGAAACAATTACTAGTAAGAAGCTATTTTTAGAACAGGCACGCTGGCTACTCTTTTTGCAGGTGCCCAGGTTCCCGCGGGAACCGACTTGGTGACCCCAAACTAAGCGATTTTTGTTGTTTCTGCTCTAAAAAAATATTATTTGTTTACACCCATCGGCTTCTCACCTGAGGTGGGTCGAGGGCTGGCTGGAGGAGTAATAGGGGGCGTGTAGGCCCGGCCTAGGCGTAGTAAAGGTGACATGCAGCGCCTTCTCTTAGGTCCGCCGCCCGTCAAATTGTTGTCCGCGGGCCTCTTCCCTTTGTTCTGAGGGCTCGTCACAAACTCGTCTGCCTCGTCAATCATCATGCCCTGGAAGAGGAGAAACGAGGAATACAGGTTCAAAGATTTATAAGCAGCGGGTCTAGATTTCGGGGATGCGGTCAAAGGGAGAACCTTCTTATCCAGCTTGAAGGGGTTGCCGAAGGTATGAAGGCGCTTGGGCTGCTCGGGGTCGGCGTCTCGGAGGGGCTGGGGAGCGGCTTTCAGAAAGTCCTGGTAGTTCCCCATCTGAGCGATGGGGACGCTGTGGACCTGATCTGTGCAGGGGATCGCAGAACAACATCTTCATGTAGTATTATGAAACTATATTTAATATTCAGGCTGATGCCAATTCTGAAATCTGGCAGAGCAAAATTAAGACACGCAATGAATCAGCCAATTCATTAAAAATATATCCATAAATAAAATAACTTCTTCGATCCCTTAATGGCTACAACAATAAAAATGCATATTACAGGCAGAGCTTTGAACTTTTTTACTTTGTCATTTAGTTTAACTTTACAACAGAGGAAAAAAAGGGCATAATAAACTGACTATTTGCCCATGTTTTGGTTTGGTGGATTTCCATCATATTTACTGTTCTTTTCACCTCTAATGTAGCAGGTTTACAACATACTTATTGTTGGATACTGTACATCTTTAATGTACGACATTGACATATCTAATGTTTTCTGTAGCGCTGATGTATATTTTGATCATATTTCACGTTCTTGATTTTTACACATTGAATGTAGCATATTCCGATCACGTTTGTTGTCTATTGAGTAAAGGACCATGTAAACATCCTATTGAATGTCTATACACCTCCAATGCTCATTGGTGATAACGAACAGCGCCATAGCGTACCTGCGTCGTAGCCTCGCAGGGTGCAGACAGTGGTGTTGAGAAGGTTTCTCCTCATGCGACTAAGCTGGTCCAGCAAGTGACTGCGGGGAATGTCATAAGGGTTCCGGAAACTCTGAGGCTTCAAGCCCTGAAGAGGACATCCCCAACATTAGAAATCGGCAAAGCCAATAAATGCTGGCTTGAATGCAGTTTGAAGACAGAGACAATCGCTTAGCGGGGACTCCACATCCAAAATTTACAGCTGAAGAAAAACGGTGGAACCAACAAGAGTCCAGTTGCACAATTAGTGAAAGGATCCTGACAAGATTGTTTTTTTTTGGACAGCCAAAAGCAGAGCTGACCTTGTTAAGGAGTGCCAGGTGGAAGCCCTGGAACTCTTTCGGGTTGAGCTCCAGGGGTGGCGCCGGGGCATCGCCTGAGAGACTCTGAAGCTGCTGGATGAAGTCTCTGCGCTGGGCCAGCGAGATCCCTCCGCCCCTCCACCGTACCTTGATGCCGGACTCGGGCGGCGCCTTCTTTCCGATGGAGGCGATCAGGCGGTCGGACTCCATTTTGGTCTGGAAGTAAACCGCGTCATGTGAGCCGAGGAGACCCCAGAACGTGACGTGGTTTCGTCGAGTCGAACCTGCTGGCTTAACTTCTTGAGGTAGGACACCACGCTGTAACTCAGGCCATACTCCATGTTTTCTGCCAGAAGGTTGGGTGCTCCCATGATCCTCAACGCCTTCCTTAGAGACTGCGGAGACGGCGAGAAGAAGAAGGTCAACAGACGACAAAGGAAATCAAAGTAGAAAAAGGCAGAGATGTGAGTTTTGGGTACCCCGATGTAGTACGGCGGCATGGTCTTCAGGTAGTTCTCAAAGGACTGCCGCCACTTGAGGGTGGGCTTGAACTTGTGCACTTTGATGAGGTCGTCTACGGTAAACAATAAAAGGAAAACAATGGAATGTCTGTTTCTTTCCCTCGTTTTGATGATTCATTTCATTGCTCCCATGGATTCGACCCATCAACCCCAAACATGTAAAGCCAAAAGAAACTCTCAAAGACACTCAATACGCTAGCGACGCTAAAAGCAGGGCTTGCTAGGAGTTCCCCAGGGAACGGACGCTATTCTGGACAGCTGAAGTTCCAGAACATCACGCAAGTCAAGCGAAGGACTCACCCAGAAGCGGCAGAAGTACGGGGTAGTTGTAGGGCATGACAAACAGATTGACGCAGTTGAGCGCCGTGCTGGCCTTCAGGTAGCCAAAGGGCTGGCCTAGGTCACTGTATTTGGCACTGTTGCATACAAACACCTGAGGAATATTAAAAAAAAAAAAATTATGGGTTGTTGCTCTGACACATGAATTGGCCTCAGAGCTGATTATTGCAACCGGTGAAGTGGTGATACGTTCCGAAAACAGCTACCATCGTGCCATCGCCATTTTGTGTGCATCGTTACTCGAAACTGTTCGCCAATCAGAATGTTGAATGACTTGGTGTGAGTTGCGGGTGTTGGTAGCTCGTGTATGAATGTGCTTACTACGCATTTTTTCTGTGGTTTTCGGCTGTGGTAAGCATTGAACGTTATCTTCCTTGATGTGTGTGAAATTATTACAAATTTTGGTCCTTCTCTGCCTATTACTGACTCTTTGCAAACGGTTTGCTGCCAACACGCTAACATAATTCTAAATGGAGTGCTGGGAAGCTTTGATGCAGAGATTTTGCTTGGACTTTTTAAGAAATAATTGAAGCCATATTACGGGGTTTTTGCCAGGGTTGTACCTGCCAGCAGGTGTGTGGAGACTTCCTCTCCAGTATGTACTGGGTGAGCGGCGAGGGCTCCAGCTCATACTTGTCGAAGGGAACCTTGTCGATCACCATGGGTTCGGCGTCCAGGCAGGAGAAGCGGACATGCGGGTGGGCCGAGCGGGGGGGCTGAGCAACAAATGTAAAATTCAGAATCAAACGTCAAATGGATGACTTAACCCAATGTATGTTCCTTACCAGCGTGGGGGAGTTTTGGTCCGGCCAGAAGGCCTCGGGTACGGGCCAGTGTCCGATGGGAACGCCCGTTTTGGGATTGGGCCGGACATAGATGAGCTTGTGGCAGCAATGCCAAGGCTGCGGGCCGGCCTTTAACGCCTCGGGTGGAGCATCTGAACAGCGCCCAAGCCAAAATAAAAGGCATCACGCAAGATATATTTTGCCGCATTGGACGGCCAGACGACACTCACCGTCCGACGGGGGAGGGTCGGGCCCGGTCTTCTCAAAGTTAATGACCACGCCACTCTGGATCTTTTGGACCAGAGACTCCAGACACTGATTCAACATCCGTTGTGAGAACACACTGTATGAACGCCCTGGAAAAATAGACAGCGACCAGTGTTTTGGAGTTGAGGAAACACACACAGGTCCTTATTTCTAGTCCCAATTTCCCTATAGATTGGTATATCGGCGGCGTAACGGTCCATCTGAAATGTATCCGCTGGTAGCCTTCAGGCGAAAGCATCTCAGTGCAATTATCACGGCTTGACGCAGTCAGATAATTAGAGGATGCCAGCGTCTGGGAAAGTGACGGTTGCTTTCAACACAAAGGGGGTGAACCAGTGAGTAAAACGTCACATTCTCAAAGTTCGACTTTTTTAAGTGCTGAGTGACTGGAATGACTTTCTCTTGTTTTAGGCATTTCTACTATAAGCACGCAGTCACTCATGACTCAATTGGAGACACCGGTTTGAAGTCTGTCTACCTCCAGTGACTTCACACATGGGCGTGATGGGCGAGTCGTCGGACGGGACGCCGCCCACCGGTTCGGGCTCCACCGACGCGTGGCCAGGGATTCGCAGCACGAGCGCGAACAGACGCTGGTCCCAGCGGAAGGGCTCCTTGGTCAGCTCGCTCCCCGGCAGGGGCGTCGTCAAGGGGAGATGGAGCTGCAACACAAATTTGTATTTTTTTTTTTTCGGTGACAATCTTTGCTTTGAATTCACATTATTATTATAACACTGACCTCATCTTGGACCCCCGCACTGGTGGTCAACTTGTTGCCATCGGTGATGGCGATGATGATCGCGGGCTCGAGAAAGAAAGGGTTTCTTCCCTACCAAGACGAAGAAACCAAAGCATTTCAAGCACGTGAGAAAGTACAGTTTGTTTTAATGGCAAGGTAAGGCCAAATCTAATGTTTTGCTTTCCTACCCTACACGTCTAAAATCTTTGAGCGAGTTGATTTGTGAATAAAACATTGTTTTCATGGTAACCTTCACTTCGATAAGCACTGATGCCTCTTTTCTAATCAGAATATTGTCTGACACGAACGAGGTTTAGAGACGACATTTAAGACGTCTTTTCTCCGTTGCTTAGCAACAGGTCACTTTGGTGGCTAAAGACAATAACAAAGTACATGGAGGTTATTCGTGATGATGACAATCACGGCCCTTCTACAAATGAGGTTGAGATTAAGCCCCCTTTCCTCCCGTCTTCCTTGACAAGCAACCCGCATCACGGTGGAGGAGGCACGCCATTTTAGTGTTTGTGCGCCTAAGATTACGGTTTACAGAACAAAATAGCCCAATAAGCCAAACAGTTGAAAAAATATTGTCAACTGTTTATGTATCTGATTGAAAATAAATATTTGTTGAAAAACATTCTTGGCTAAATGCAACCTTAGGTGAATATAGTATTCTCATAACAAATAATTGCAAAAAATAAAACAGAGAGCGCAAATCTCTAATTGCCCCACGGGGATAAATAAAGTTTTCTGAATCTGAAATCTATTATGTCAATCGAAAATTAGCAAATCTATTATGTCAATTGAAAATTATCGCTTTTTAGGACGATGCTTTTTTGTATATTTCCACCCATGAACCTCTACATATCCTGCTATACGCTAGGCCTATTTAAATAAAAATCTGTCTCGAAAGAAGCCTCAAAATATCATTAATGGCACAAAAAGCTGTCACCCTTATGCCAAATGTTAATTGTTGTGTTGCAAATGTTGGTTAAAAATATTTTTGATCCATTTTGACCCCAAACAATATGTCTTAAAAGAATTGTGATTTTAGCACCTCATAAACTGGAGTTGGGGGGGAAGGGGGGCCCCATCTGTTATGCAAGACATTCAAGTCCTTAATTATATTGCATGAGTGTGTTTGTCACAGTATGCAGGTGGTTGATGCTTGGAAGACTGGGGGCTGGGGCGAGGGGTCTTTGTGTTTCAGGGACTTGTGGCTCTTGAGCGCTACCTACCTGCCCATAGTTGTCAATGCCAGTCACTAGTCTATTGAGATTGAGCAGGTCAAAGGCGGTCCTCAGTGACTGGCCTATGCTGGTGAGCCCTGTGGCCTGCAGGTTCCTCAGTTCCGTCATGAATGTGGCGTGGCTCTCTTTCCATCCCGCCTTCACACACACAGATACACGCACACGCACACACACACACAAAAATACCCGTCAGGTTAATGACATGTTCATTACAAGTTCAACCACAGCATTTTTTTGTGGCTCCTTCTGGCAGTGGGAAGCTTTAAACTTTTATCTACAGCTGCACTTCACATTTCTGGATGCATCATTATTTTTAATGAGCTCGACCTAACAGGTTTATGTGTACGTCACTTGTTTGTTTTTTTTTGCAACCATGACAACAACAACAAAAAAAAGGAATCAATCAATTATGTATTTATTACGTGAAACCCAGTGGGGAAATGCACAAATACATTTGTTTTATATTCTTTTGTTTGTTGTTATACTTGGTATAAATGTATTTGTGATGCGCCACTACAGTGACAGTAAAAGTAATGGTGGTAATAGCAGTAGTAATATTAGTATTGGGATTAATTGTAGTGGTGGTGGTACATGTAGTATTAGGGGTGGTAGTTGTAATAGTAGTGGTGGTATTTAAAGTAATGTAGTCATATTTCTTGGGAGGGGGTGTTGTTTATTTTATTTGTTTTCCTTTTACGAATTTTAGAAACCTAATTTTTTCTTTTCTTTTAGGTTTTTGTTTAATGTTTATGTACTAAAACGCTGTCATTGTACTTAACTTTAGTAAATTTGTTAAGCTACTTTTGTTTTCTCTGCTTTGCTTCATTAACTGTTCTGTTTGTAAATGTTTTTATTAGGCCAGTCCTATATTACTTGTAGTAGGTCTGGTAGTGGTCGGAATAGGAGTAGCAGTGGTGGTACTCGGGGAAGTCTTAGCAGTAAAAGTAATATAAATTGTGACAGTGGTGCAATTAAGAGTATTAATAGTTGTGGGAGTGGTGATAGTCGTAATAGTAGTAGTAGTGATGGTAATAAGGCTGGTAGTAGTCGTGGTGAAATTTGGAGTAGCAGTAGTATTACTGTAATTCGTAACCTTATTACTTAATGTAACTAGTGAGTAGTGATTTTAAGTGGACTAATGAGTATTACTTATTAGGACGGCAGTGATTGCAGTAATGATATTACCGGTCGTAATAGTGGTAGAATTAGTAGTGGTGTTAAGGAGTAGTAGTTTGGGTGACAGCTAAAGTATTGGTGCTGGTAGTAGTAGTGAAGGTTTAAGGAGTAGAAGTAGAAGTAGCATCAGGAGGGGACGTATTAGTCATAGCGCTGACTGCAGCAGTAGTATTACTTGTCATGGTATTGGTAGTATTAGTAAGAGTGGTGGAAGGAGTGGTGATAAGGGTAATTAGAGTGGTTAATGTGATGGAAGCTGTGTAGCAGCAGTTATGCTGGAGTTATTGGGGGCAATATTAGTATTGGTGGCAGCATTCTTAGTTTGGGTGGTCAGAGTAGTTGCAGTGTTAGTAATAGACATTTAAGAGTAGTGTTGGTAGTAGTATAAGTTCTGTAAGTAGGAGTAACAGTGTGTGAGTGAGTGCCCCCCCAACCCCTCCCTCCTGAGGATGGCTGTAAAAATAACTCCCAGAGTTCCTTGCTTCTCTGTACAAAATGTCGGCCATGTTTTAAAGGGGGCATGGACGGCGAGCTTCCTCCTGAGGTGAGGACTTTTTTGAGGGAGGGGGGAGCTTACAACACACTCAGCCTGCCTTGGGAAAGGGGGACACTCATCATCACCACGGCCGCGATCAGTCTCGGCCAGTGAAAAGCCGACTTGAGCCGAACATGAACTCTACCTTGATCCCGTACGGAATGTCTTCATAATTTACCAACATGTACCGGTCCCCTCTGCTCGCCGGATCTCTCCCTCGGAGCTGTGAAGATAGTAGAGATGATTTAAAACCGAGAGTTGGACTTTTTTTGCGAACAGGTTGAGCAAGTTAAAAAGAGGAAATGCCACCCGAGCCGAGCTGTCCCGCCAGTACAGTACCTTCATAAAAGTCTCAACAGCGCCTTTTGCTATGTCCAGATAGGTAGTGCCCAGATGGCTGCGCTGGTTCATGGACGCGGACGTGTCTACCAGGAAAAGTAAAACGGGCATTTTGTGGTGCTAACAACACGTTCTGCATGGACTTGGGAGTCAGTACACAACCAAAAAGATCACCCCCCTCCCAAAAAAATCAAAATAAAAATCTTTTGTTCTCTCCCGCCGCTTGCTGCCCGTGTCACCTCCTCGGCTAGCTAGCTAGCTGCTAACTAGCTAGCCGGCTAACTGTCTCTCTCACACATTCTTTCCAGTACACAAAAAAAGTGTCACAAAGTGTGAGTGGCGAGGCTCCCCGCCGGGCAAACTGAACTAAAAACCTCCCACCCTAGGGGCAGCCCATGGATTCACGGGGGTTTTTGGCAATTTTGACAATATTTTGCGAATAGTCCTAAGTTTCATAGCAACAAAGTTCGCCCTCACTGTAGATCCCTGCTTCTCCCTACACTGACTGTGCCGAGCCGCTTCTGGCAGTTTTACTGGCAGCCTGTTTTCTTGGCCACGCCTCTTTGACATCACATGCATCAAATATCGCGCTCTGATTGGTTTTTTGACCTGGCCAATTACCATATCCAAATAAGGGCCAAGTCTTCCAGAGCGATCTGCGCATGCTCTCTTGGCTCAGGGGCAAGAATGCGAAGATGTGTCACTAAACACGGCGATGCTATATTTATGTGTTTTTGCACAATTTGCCCCGTGGTGTTGACATATGTCGTAACCCAATGAGGACTGTTCGCATGCTACGGTCGACCCTTTACGACTGTGAAACGACAATGACTACTTGTGACGCTTTTTGACAGTGTCAAACAACTAAAAGTGATCCTGAAAGATTGACATGCATGCATCGTCGTCAGTCACACGCTCTGCAGCTCGAAGAGGACAGCACTTTTGTTTCCCCTCTCCACTTTCCATGTGCAAAAACACAAAGAGCTCCAGCAGCCGCTTTTACACAGGAAGTAATGACGCGCGCTTCTTGTGACACCTTTATTTTGGTTTACACTACAGAAAATGGCCAAATTGGTGTGTTTTTTCATGCAAAAATACGAAGAGATTCTCTGGATTGGCCATGTGACACTCAGTCGCAGCGTTTGTGATTGTGCAATACAATTTACATAATGGCGCACCTCTTTGGAAACACGATGACTTCCGCATAAAAGGGAACGGAAATAGTCCTGATAATGAAAGGAAGAAGTAAAAAAATGTTGGTATCGTGCGTTGTGAGAGTACGTTTGCACAATGTACACAAGGAGTCTTAATACGAGTAATTCCACTTTATGATTCTGCATCTCTCTCTCTATACTGTATATATATATATATATTTATTTATTTATTCGTGTGTGTGTGTGTGTGTGTGTGTGTTTATTTATTTATTTGGGGAGGGGGGTAGATTTTTTTTTGTATGTGTGATTATCCTCCCATTTTACACTCCAGTCCAGTAGGTGGTGACCTAATACTGTAGCTGGTTTGACAACCGCCATTAGATGCAAAAGAAGAATGAATTATGATTTAAAAAATAATAAGAGCAAAATGTGATTGTCACAAGACTGATTGATCAGGTTGATGTTTTGTTTAGTAGTGGTGAATGTGGTAGAAATAGTGACAGTCGGAATGGTAGTGGTAATAGTAGTAGAATAAATGTAACTACTATTGCTATCTTTCTCACTGCTGTTACCACTAGTAGAAAAAATGGTTGTGATAGTCAGGGTGTGAATCGTGACTGTAGTACTGTAGATGTAGATCTGTAGTGATTAGTGTTCGTAGTTCTAGTAGAATGGTGCTGGGAATCACAAGTAGAACTCCTACCACAATCATTCCCACCTCTACCACTTGTTCTGTCCCTTCTACATCCATTAGTACCACTACAACTACAACCAGTAATAAGAATTACAGTAATGTGATATGCCAGGAATGTCATAATTTGTAAAGTGACTTTTAAATGACTTAAAACTCTTGGTTCTGATTGCTCATGAAAATTGTCTTATAATATATTCATAATAATGGTCACAAACCATTCCTCATTTAGAATGTAATTTTACAACAACAGAAGTTTTATTTTGATGACCGGAAGTAGGTGTCGCCGTTCCCGGCGCGTGCAGTGTCAGCTGACAATTGTCACCCCCCCCCCCACCCCCACCCCTCAGAGTGGACCGAGTGGACCGAATTGACAAACAGGCCGAGCGGGTGACACCTGCACCGCGACACCCAAGCATCGCAGCTCGCCTCTCGTCCTTCTTCTTCCTACACGGTCTCCCCCTCTCCCCCTCTCCCCGCTCGCCACTGACTCACAACCCCGTCTGGATACTATTTCGCCCTTTCATACGTTAGGACAAATATTAATAGTGTCATGTGTCAGGTGTCGTCTTTGTCTGACCAGCTAGTTATCAACATGCTAGTTATCAGCATGCTAAATCGCAGCCATTACATTAGAAATAGTCACCCATTTGTGTACATTTCTCATTTTATAACTACTTGAAATCGTCTAGCTTACTTTTCTTGACGCATTACTGTCAACACGTACACCGAACATGAATTAATTAAACATTTTCTGTTACCGTACTTTCATTGGCTACCTTATTTACACTATGAAGCCATGTATTTTAATAAGTAGTATTTCAGTTTGTAGTAGTGGTAGAACAGGTGGTACTAGGCAGTAGTAGTATAAGTTGTTCAGAGTAGAAGCTGTGATTAGTAATCCATTAGTAATGGTGGTGATGGTACCAGAGTATTAGTATTGGTAGAGGTAATGGTAGAACACAAAATGGTAATGTATACAGTAATTGTCAGTTTGTATTAGTGGTAGAGGTAGTAGTGGAGTATTGGTGATGGTGGAGCTAGTAGTAGTACTACTGGTGATAAGGGTAGTTATATTCAATGTTTAGTTAGTAATGGAAGTAGTAGTAGATCTGTGCTGATGGTAAGGTCAGTGGTATTATTGTTAGTTAGTAGTGGTCATAGTAATATTAATAGTGGCAGTAATGCTGGTGGTAGTAGTGCCGGTTTTAAGAGTGGTGGTATCATTATTCGTAGCAGTGGTGGTCATAGAAACGATGGTAGTGCTGGTGGTAATGGCACTGGTGTTATGGTTAGTATTAGTAGTGATAACAATGGTGTTGCTGATAGTCTTGGTGGTAGCAGTAGTGGTATTAGTATCAGTAATCGTAGTGACGGTAGCACTGGGATTGTGGTGGTAGTAGTAGTAGTAGTAGTAGCTGCTAGTACAGGTGCTAATTATACATAGTAGTAGTAGTAGTAGCTGCTAGTACAGGTGCTAGGAGCAATGGAAGTTGTGGTGCTGTCGCCATTTAGCTTTAGAAGTAGTGCGGTGCTTCCATTTTTGTATAATGTTGTCTTGACGGCCACAATAGGTCTTTATATTCGTCCATGCTTGTTAGTGTTGTCATCCTCCAATTTTTTTTGCATTCAAACAGGACAATTCGGGTTTGGATGAAGCGGGACAGCGGCCAGTACTGGCCCAGCATCTACCACGCGATGCCATGTGAGTGTGTTTTCTCCTTTGCCTTGATGTTAAAAATATGTGTATACCTGTAAGTGTGGACAAAGTACAAAGATGTTTTATTGTCAGTTACAAACTTTGAGCTCAATCGCTTCCTTCTTAGCTCATTTCAGTGTGAATGTTATGAATGTTTGCACCCGAGTTAACTTTTTACTGGCTTTGTAAAGGAATCTAATAAGCAAACACAAACTTGATACCTCACAAAATATGTTACGAGGAAGCAAAATTTGGCTTGAGGATGATGCTAATTAAAAATACTGAACAAAATACGTTTTCTTTACTCACCAAAATATGGCTTTTTTCTAAAAAATAAATAACTTCTCCTTTCGGCACGTCCCTATTCAGGGGTCACCACAGCGAGTCAGTAATTTCCATCCGCCCCTGTAAACCGTCCTACCAACTCGCATGGTCGTCTTGGCAAAAGTTTTACGCCGGTTTTTCTAAAAAATAAATAAATAAACAAAATTAAAATCTGTCTCTAAAAAATGTTCACGACCCTCCCCCCGAATGATGAATATGTGCCTATTTTATTTTGGAAAAAAAAATACTTGATTCTTTGGAAAAAACAACAACAAGATTATTTTACTCAACTTTACTCAGCGCTCCTGCTTGTCAAACATAAATGTCTCAATGACAGTAAGTAGAATCCACAAAAAAGCCAGCAGTGGTGTTTCAATTGTGTGCATTCAAAGCATTAGCACAAACAACAACAACAACAACAACAACACCACCACTATATATTGTTAAAAATTAAAATACTAATTAATAATTTGAATTTGGCTCTATCACAATGCCCAATTTCTGTGACTGAGGAAGAGGTAGCTTCTTCAGGACATAATGTAACCTTTATTTAAATCAATTCAGCACCAACACACGAGTGTGTTTTTGTGTGCTTGAGTATGTTTGAACACGTTGCACACTAATTTCAGACGTGTTGGTACAGCAACCCGAGCTGTTGTGCAACGAAAGTAATCTCTGCGCTGCCTTCAGCAATACGTGTGCATGCCTTGCACACACAAAATCAGATTTGAAGTGATTTTTTTTTTTTTTTTGCCTTCATTGAGAACCAAATTACGTTATTTCCAGCAAGAATGCAACAAACAAAAAAGTTTTGCTCTCATTTTTTCCCCTCCCATCTCAATTTCTCCTGACACCAAACAAGCTTTGCAACATTTTTTTATCCAAGCACTAACTTCCACGGAAATAATAGAAATATATTTTGTCTTTATACAGTTTATAATGTGAAAGTGCTCCCTTTTGGAAAATGTCTCTTTTGTCGAAATGCGTACACGACTGCCATCACTTCCATTATTTTTATTTTGTATTTAGATAACAAGAGATTGATCAGAAATTAAAAAAAAAAAAAAAACAGTATTTAAAAAAAAAAAGAACATTTCAAAGTGACACCCAAACTGGAGAGAGGAGAAGCAGCAGTAAAACAGGCCAAAATCCAGATGTCAGAGGGGCGAGGCAGGGCAATATAATCCTAGCTGCGGTTTAACCAAATCCAGTGTAGAAACAAGTCTTAAATTGAGGTTTAAATATTTCCGCCTGAGCACCACGCCTTTTGAGGATTGACGAATTCATTCATAGAGAAAACGATGTGGAAATAATTCACAACTCTCAAGTGTTTCTTGGGAAAAGGATTTGATAGAGGAGTCGGGAAAAGTTGCCAAATACGGCGACCAAATCTCAAAGTTGGTAACACTGACTCATCTCACTAACTGATAGACCCCCCACCCCCAAAAAAAAAAAAAAGATGAATCAGTATGTACAAATACTTCATTCAAGTTGTGTATGTTTGTGCCCCCAGCTTCATGCTCATGCATGACCTTTAACCCGGAGACCAGGCGTCTGCTGGTGGGGATGGATACAGGAAATGTTTTCGTAAGTAGCCAGAATCTAATCTGTCTCAAAATGTTTCAAGTTGATGAATTTTAACACCGCCTCTCCGATGACTCGGGTCTTTCCAGGAGTTCATTTTATCCGAGGATTACAACAAGATGACTCCCACACACACCTACCAGGGTGAGCTAGCATGCATGTTTTTTTGTTTGTTTGTTTGTGTGTTGTGCTTGTATGTCGTTGACGTGGATGCTATTTGTAGCCCATCAGGGTAGAGTGACGGTGGTTTTGTTCGTTCTGGAGATGGAGTGGCTGCTGAGCACAGGCCAGGACAAGACCTTCACTTGGCACTGCTCAGAGAGCGGGCAGCAGCTGGGATCATACCACACCTCAGCCTGGGTGTCTGGACTGCAGTATCCTACCCATACACTGTCGTCGTCTGACTCACTAACCGCCTGACTGACAGAGGAATAGAAATAAGATTTTTTTTCTCTGTCCAACTGACCAAGTGACTGGCTGACCAATGTTATCTGATGTCTCTTGATTGTTTTTGTCCTCCCCCTTAACTTAATTCACTCAGATTCGATGTCGAGACTCGACACGCCTTTGTCGGCGATCAGTCGGGTCAGGTGACCATCCTGAAGCTGGAGCAGGACAGTTGCAGCCTGGTGACCACCTTCAAGGGCCACACCGGTACATACGCACACTATGTACACACTCAGCGACCTCCACTGAGGCCAAATAATCGTGGGATGTTTTTGTCTTCTGAGCTTGGAGAAGGAAAAAAAAAGACCCTCTATTCTACTCCAGGACTGTAGCTGGCGATAATGCTCACTACTATGAAGTGCCACACACACAGAAAACCTCTTTCCTCTCTTTCCACTACAATTCCAGCTGTTCGACTTGGTGGCTCACTGGCTCACCTGGCCCCAATAGTTGCACCGCCACAATATGGCTTCTTCTTTGGCTCAGTGGACTTTCTAACTGACTATCTGCCCTGTTGTGAGTCATGAATACAAGCTTCATTCATTGAGTACAGTGTGTACACTGTGAGCCTGGACTGTGACCCTTTGGATGGCGTGGGAAAGATCGTGTTGGTGCCAAGTTGGCACATTGAAACAATGGCCTCGTGCTGTAGTGCCTCGTGTCCTCCTGCAGGGGGCAGTGTGGCACTGCCTCTGAAATAAGCGCATTCTTTCCCCCTTGTTCAGGTAACGTGACCGCACTGTGCTGGGACCCCGCCCAGCGGGTTCTGTTCTCAGGCAGCTCCGACCATTCCATCATCATGTGGGACATCGGAGGTCGCAAAGGCACCGCCATCGAACTGCAAGGGCACAAGTAGGAGTGCAAAGCATGTTGTGTTTTGGTTTTGTTTTGTTTGGTTTTTTTTTTTTGCTCCAGGCTTACATTGTTTATATATTGTACTTGCCAATATATTGTGAGTCTTCCAATACTTTTGTATTTTTTTTCTTCTCTTTTAGTACACTTTACCATTGTGTTTGTATTTTCATTCCTGTTTTTTCTTGCCCTATACACCGTGTCTGCTTATTTGTGACAGCGACAAGGTGCAGGGCTTGTGTTACGCCTCGCACACTCGCCAGCTCATCTCATGTAGCGCCGACGGCGGCATCGTCATCTGGAACATGGACGTGACACGACAAGAGGTGAAAGTCACTAACATATACAGTGCGCTTGTTATTTGCTTGGTGCCGTGTGGTTTTTATTTGCTCATTTGTGTCTAGACTCCGGAGTGGCTTGACAGCGACTCGTGTCAAAAGTGTGAGCAGCCTTTCTTCTGGAATTTCAAGCAGATGTGGGACAGCAAGAAGATTGGGCTACGCCAGGTACCGAATGATGATTCCCATTGCCAATGATTGAAAGGTTCTATTAGTATATCAAAACAAGGCTCGCTGGTTCATGGGGTTTTCTGGAATTGTGAAGAAAAGTGAAAAATAATTCCGACTGTCTCTCCATTGTTCAGCATCACTGCAGGAAGTGCGGCCAGGCTCTGTGCGGCAAGTGCTCGTCCAAGCGCTCCACGATCCCGCTCATGGGCTTTGAATTCGAGGTGCGCGTGTGCGACGGCTGCCACGCCTCCATCACAGACGAGGAGTAAGTATGACGTCACCCGCCGCCATCTGGCGTCAAGGCATCACCTTCTAATCCGCCCCCTCCATTTTGTGTACCCCCCTGTCCGCCACCCCAGTCGTGCCCCCACGGCCACCTTCCACGACAGCAAGCACGCCATCGTGTACTTGCACTACGAGCCCACCACAGGATGTCTGCTCACCTCCGGCACTGACAAGGTGGTCAAGGTAGGCCAGGAGTTCAGATCACTTTTTAGTACGAAAGCAGTGAAGGGGGACGAAAAAGAGTTCAGAATGTCATCACGTGCGTTTGTTGCTCAGCTTTGGGACATGACGCCCGTGGTATCATGACGTCGCCCCTCCAGCCAGGAAAAGCTCCACACGCCAACCGCGAGATGGCAGCCGTCGGCCTCGAGCAGGACGGGAAGGGAGGGGGGCGCCATTTTGGATGGTGGTCTTTCATGGGTAGGGGGCCCTGTAAGCTCCGCGCAAGACGTGTGTACAGTTTGTGATTATTTATTATTTAAGTGTGTGTCAGGGCAATCGCAGCATGAGACACACACTCATGAATCATCCTCACCATCAGCTGTGATTTGATGCCAATGTTACTGTGCAATTGTGGAAAAAAAAAAAAAGAAAACGGGTGTTAAGGCACTGGAGTGCTGTCTCGAGATGGAAAATATACAGCAATGTTCTTTGATATTTTTGAAAATGTATTCGTCAATGGTCTTCAAGGGATCTGTCATGCGCATGACACGAAGCACCTACGGTAAGATCATTTCCATCCATAAAACGTGAAAGGGACCAAAATAAAGCTTGAAATTTTCTGAACTTTTCAAGTCGTTTCAAGAACTGTAGCCGCAAAGCCCATCAAAAAAAGTTCCGGGACCTCTCCAAAGTTCTACCTAGATGTGGTTCTAGTTCATTTCCGGCAAGGAAAAAGAGAAATTGCATGAGTAGATGTAGAATTCCAACTAACCGGTCAGCTTCTTATGCGAAACGAAACAAAAAGAATAACATGGCTGAAGAGAAAAATACATGATCCGACCTGAATTCCTGTTGCTATCCCAGAACTAAACCCTAAATCGGTTCCAATTTCTCTTGTTAGTTTTCCTTCTGTCGAAATGCGTTACAACCAACTTACCTGTTGAGGCACTAAGCAGCAGGGGGTATGGTAGCAAAAGTGAGGAATGTGATTGATGGACCTCCCGAAAGCACTGAAGAGCAGGGTCCTTTTTTCGGTTCAACAAACTACACTAAATAAAGGATTGTAAGTCAAGTGGTAGTGCACCAAAAAGAAGGGATGGTGTTGTGTGCTGATGGATGGAAATGAGCTGCAATCGTTATACCTACTGAGTCTTACCATGTGAGTGTGATACTCGATTAACTTGCTTTACAATTGGGGGACTTTCTTCAGAGGCATTATAAAAAAAGTATGTGAGGCCATTGAGATTTTTTTTAGTGAACATGCTGTGTTTCATGAACTGTGATCATGTGTGAACAATGCATTAAAGCACAAAAAGTCCCTCCTCAAGAGCAAAAGTCACGTTTCAAGTCTGTTTCTTTATTTAACCTCTTAAGTGTAATTAAAAAAAAAGTGCTATTCAGAGTTTTGAGATATACATGGCTCAAAACTTAAAACCTATCGCATCCGATGATGTCATAATTCTTGAGAGTTCAGCATGTAGTCTGTCTACATGTGTTGCGCCACTGTTTGTGTTCAAATATCAGTTGCTCACACTGTTCTACATTGATGCAATTGGTGAGCCTGTTTCTGACAGCCTAACTAATGACTTGCATCGGAGTGATGAGGGCTCTTGAATTGTGTGCGAGTAATTTTATTATACAGCGGTTAACATTGAGTATAAAAGTACATTCAGCTCCATTGACAGTAAATCAACAAAGAATTAAACCACAATACTTACTCATCTCGTATGATCTCCAATTAGCACAAGAAACATTGTAAACATGAACTGAGGAGTGTTAAAAACAATTTAAAAAAAAATGTCAAGGTTTGAACTTCAGCGCCAAGTCATGGAGTGCCGCCAGGAGCTTGTCTTGGTCCTCTGTGGTGGATTTGGACCAGGCCAGCGGGAGGTGTGTGGCCACAGCACGCCGATCTTGGAAGAAATGACCAGATTCAAATTGTTTTTCTCCCACAATGCATTTTTAAAAAAAGAGAGTTAGTTCCAGACCTTGAAAGAAGAGTCCGCTAGGCTGCTTTGCAGCAGCCTCGGACACGGCCAGCCACACCACCGTGTCGGCACCCATGGCTTCTGTGCGGAGTTTGTTCTTCATCTTGGCGTGGAAAGATGGCATGGACGACTGAACGGCTGTGACAGAGAAGAAAGAAACGACAGTACCAAAATCATCCGACTTGGTAATAATTCAAGGTGTGAGTCGCGATGAACCGAGGACTCAACCTGAGTAGTATACTAGTGTATAATATCTGCCAGACCGATTTCCTGTCTTTTCAGGTAAAGCTTCAAGCAACTTTTTCCTGGCTCTACTCATGATAGACATGTTTAACAAATTTGATGTGTTACAATGTTCCCATGTGATTCCGTTTCATTTGTGCAATAGTTGCATTGTGTGCATGTACCCGGTGTGTCAGCCCATCCTGGGTGCATGGATGAGAAGTGGATGTCTTTGTGCTGCGTGGCCCATCTCTCGGTCAGTATCACCTGCTGCCTCTGGACAAACACACGACGACGATAACAACACGTCATTCTGCATTGCCGAGCTCTTTTCCGTTGCTGTTTTTTGTTTTTGTTGTTGTTGCTAACTTTGTTCTGAGCGTAGGCCATGGTGCCGTCAAAGGCTCCCTTCTCAAACTGCAGGTCGTCCACGTTTAGCTTTTGCGTCAGCATCCCGCCCGACGACACCGTCACCTGGCAGAATAAGCGACCCGTTTGAAACATACTGTTTATGTGGGACCTTGATTTTTTTTCCAGTAAGAAGCAGTTGTTCAGGTTTATTTGATTTTTTTTTGTCTTGCATTGGGTGCAAAAGTTTGAGTGATGAACGTTTGATAGTTACAGTGAACCTCACAAGAAGCAACAGTTGAAGTCTGCTAGCGCCATTGACTCGTTAGTGAAACTAGCATTGATGTTGCTGTAATGATCAGCCTTTAAACAATTATTAAACAATACTCAGAGGCAAATATTCTTTATCCTCTGCGTCTCATTAGCAACAAATTTGTAGTACAGTATCTATGTATCATACTGCCCCCCAGGTGGCCCAGGTACACACACCAGAAGGAGCAACACAGTGGCCAGTGAGTTATTGGGACCCACAAACCGTTTAATTCTTTGCACTCTTTAGAATAGTTTTATTCCAGTGTGTTTTTTGCTGTGGTATTTTCCTTATGTTAAGAAACATGTTGCAATTAATTTTGTTTTTTTGTGTGGTGCAACAGATCAAGAATATGACAGTCCACTCACCACTCTGGGATCCTTCGCTTTCTTCAGGGCAGGTAGAAATGCAGTGGTGAGAATATATGTGCCTGAAATCAAAATAAATGTCAGGTATATCCATTTTTTAGGTTTGCAAATAGAACTAACTATCATGTCTTACCTTCTCTGAGCATTCACAATGTCCTTTTGAATTGTCTTGTTGTGCTTTTACTCACCTAGGGTATTTGTAGCAAAGTTCTTCTCCACACCTTCCTCAGTCAGCTCACGCTGGTTGACCATACAGCCTGCGTTGTTGATCTGGTGACGGCCATCACACAATCCATTACGGTCTCAAGTATACACACACGTACACTCACGTGCACTCCTACCAACACATGTAGGTCATTACGCTGTGAGAAACTCTGCGCAAACTCCCACACTTGTCTAGCACTGGACATGTCCACGATGTGGATGTGAACGTTCTGCAACAAACAGCAAAAAGTCGACTCATCAAACTATGGAACAAGCTCCGCCCACATGCAGGCAGCGCCATGGGGTGAATTTCAAAGAATTCCAGGGGCCACTACCAAGCCAGGCTGCCTTACCTGGTTCTTACTCAGCTCCATGATTTCTTTCTGGGCGGCTTCTGCTCGCCCCTTGTTACGACACACCATGTGCACGGTTCCCCCTGCAAACGTACATCATCACAAACGGGCGACATGAAGTCAAGGCACAGCGGTTGTCGTCGCTCACCTCTACTGGCGATCTCCTGCGCCGTGGCTTTGCCCAGACCGCTGTTTGCCCCCGTGATCAGGAAGGAGCGACCATTCAAGTTCACATCCATATCCGATGCCACAAAAGTCTTGGCGGCCGCCTCGTAACCACTCCTGATCAAAGTTCACGCAACGATATATGTCACTTTAAATAAATAAAACAGAAAGTTATATTTACAAAAATACTGTTTCTTAGTTTACATACTCATGACATTCTCATAATTGTGCAAATAAGCTTATGTATAAAAATAACTTACTCTTTTTAAATCATAAAAGCTGAATAATATTTTTATTAAATTATAAAAGGTGGTCATTTGGAATTACAGTACATACCTTTTGTTGGCAAGTCATATTTTATTTGATACAGCGGCATAGAAATCGCGCTACATTATTTTTTCATTTAGTTGAAAAGGTGGATACTGTGTGCAGGTAGGATTTAAGGTACCTCAGACAAAATGTAATCAATTCACGTTTTACATTCACTGAAAACGTGCAGGTGCTTTAGAGTCTAGGATCCCGTTCAATTAATCATTTCCATAACTACAGAATGAGTTGAAGTACAGTACACGAACGCCACACAATTATTGCTCACTTCTGACCACATCTCCTTTCGAGCTATGTTTATTTCAACTTACTTGGTGTATTCTTGTAGTCCTTTCATGAACCACACGGCGTTCCTGTACATCGACATGTTTACTGTACGAAGTGTCAACCTTTAACTCGCTTTGCCAGAAGAAAAAAATGTTTTGAAATGTTTACGTTTCGTAAGACCAGATTCAAGCCTTATGTATATAGTGGCAGTGGGAGGGGAACCGGAAGTGCGGTTTTTATACTCGCGGTCGCTCACAGCTGTCCGAGGACCGAAGAAGAGGTACAAGCGGAAGCAAGTTTGCGTAAACCGGCCGCCATCTTGGAAAGGTCGCTTGTCCGACTGAAATGCACTAGAAATAAATAAAAAAATTACAATACATTTTTAATGTTACCGTTATTCTTGTTTTCATTTAGTTGAAAAGATGGATACTGTGTGCAGGTAGAATTTAAGGTACCTCAGACAAAATGTAATCAATTCACGTTTTACACTCACTGAAAACGTGCAGGTGCTTTTGAGTCTAGGATGCCGTTCAATTAATCATTTCCATAACTACAGAATAAGTTTAAGTACAGTACACGAACGCCACACAATTATTGCTCACTTCTGACCACATCTCCTTTCGAGCTATGTTTATTTCAACTTACTTGGTGTATTCTTGTAGTCCTTTCATGAACCACACGGCGTTCCTGTACATCGACATGTTTACTGTACGAAGTGACAACCTTTAACTCGCTTTGCCAGAAGAAAAAATGTTTTGAAATGTTTACGTTTCATAAGACCTGATTCAAGCCTTATGTATATAGTGGCAGTGGGAGGGGAACAGGAAGTGTGGATTTTATACTCGCGGTCGCCCACTGCTGTCCTCCGAAGACCGAAGAAGAAATACAAAAAGCGGAAGCAAGTTTGCGTAAACCGGCCGCCATCTTGGAAAGGTCGCTTGTCCGACTGAAATGCACTCCCGTATGATATATGTTTATTTTTAATAAAATTGTAGAAAAAAAAACATGTTCATGTTGTCATGATGAGGTGTTGTGTGTGGAGAGTTTGGAGGGGGTAGCAATATTTATTACCTTATGAAAGACGCCTGTTCCAGAACACAATATGAGAAAGAGTGAGAAGAAGCACTGAAGTCTTAGATTTTAATGTTATTATTTTTAATTATTGTTATTATTATTATTTCATGAACATGTTCATGTTGCCATGATGGTATCGTGTGTAGAATTGAGGGAAAACAATATTTATTACTCTCTGAAATAAATAGGCCTGGGCCAGAACAAAATATGAGAAAAAAAACAGCAATGCGATGCCTTGGTTTTTTTATTATCAATATTTTTCATGATAGATATGTATACCAAATTTCATACTAGCCGTTTAAAACTGGTTTTAGAACTGAATTTTCAAAACATACCAGGAGGCGCTCCCAAGTCATTTGGGGGGTATGTAATCGTTTATATTTTCTCTAAATTTAATTAAATCAATACAATATAAACATAAAATGGCAATTTATTGTGTCATCATTTGATTTAATAAAACAAATGACACTTTTTCAATTCCCTCCCATTACGTCCAGTATCCATCAAGACCAACTCCCAGAATGCCGAGCTCAAAGTCACTTCCGCTTAGAACGACAGGTCTTCGCACTTGCCGCGCTCGAAGTTTCACCTGGCAGTAAAAAGACTCGTGACCTTTTGCGATGCTTTGAAAAGAAAGGTAATAATGTTATGTGGCTAGACAAGACAGCGTGAAGACGACGTGCTTTGAGACAGATAGGACAGAGGAACTTGCTAACTTGAATTGTTAGCTTTAAAATCGCCGCATGCGTGTACCTGTCGCCATGGCAACGCACTATTTCCTTTCCGTCAGCCCCGTTGAGAATGTGTCGATAAATTGTGTTTTATTCAACAGATATATTCCCTCTATCAATGGCTATAGTGTTATAATTGTATGACATGCTACACGAAATCCACTTTAATTTCCAGCTCACGCCTAACTATGGTATTGTTCGGGAACTCTTAAAATATGGATTATGACTACAAAAGAGCTATGACACGATATATGTGAGATAAGGTAGCGAGCTAACCAAATAGACAGACATGTGAAGGAGGTGGGGAGAGTAGCCAAAAACTTGTACTCAAGAGAAGTGTATGACTCAAGTAAAAGTAAAAAGTAGTCCTCCAAATAATTACTGAAGTGTATCTAAGTATTCTGTGGGGGGGAACTACTCAAGTACAGAGTAACTAGTGAGTAATTTCTGGTTATTGTAGGTACATAATTATTGTACTGTATTTTAATCATCATAAACATCACGTGAACACACATTCTATCCAAAAAGTGACAATTGTGAGCGTGTATCGCTTTCTTACATAGTAGGGTGCAAATTTCTGTACTGAAACTTGACTGTTGTCATAATATTGTTAATGTTTTGACCCTCAGCCATTATGGACGACTACGAGGTGGTGCGTCCGATCGGAGAGGGTGCATTCGGGAAGGCCTTCTTGGTGCGAACCAAGACCGCCCACGACGGTGATGATGCGCCGTGTGTGGTCAAAATGATCAACCTCACAAAGGTTATTGTGAGATTTTTTCAAAACTATCTAACTTAGTATGTTTTTGCAATTGCTACATTTTTCTAACTTATGTTTTTGTATTGATGACATTTTTCGCACGCACGCACGCATGCACACACACACACACACACACACACACAGACACACACACACACACACATTGTGAGATTATTATTTATTGTAATGAATATAATAATGATAACTATTATTATACGTGTGTGTTCAGATGTCAAGCAGGGAGAAGGAAGCTGCCAGGAAAGAGGTGGCGCTCTTGTCCAACATGGAACATCCCAACATTGTCACCTTCATCCGCTCCTTCCACGGTATGTACGTGTGTGTGTGTGTGTGTGTGTGTGTGTGTGTGTGTGTGTGTGTGCCTATTTGTGCGCGGGTCACTTTGTGCGAGTGTGTGTGTGTGTGTGTGTGTGTGTGTGTGTGTGTGTGTGTGTGTGTGTGTGTGTGTGCGCATAGAAAAGGGCAGCCTGTGCATCGTTATGGAGTACTGCGATGGAGGCGATCTGATGATGAAGATCAATATGCAGAGAGGGGTCTTCTTCACTGAGCCGCAGGTAATCCATGCGGGACTCTTGATTAGGAACACCGGGACAGTTGATTTGGTTCACTGGCTCCTATGAAGATGATGCCACTCAAAATGTGATTTGAAACTTTGCCTGTACAGTCGGTAAAGGTTTTATAAGGACATATCAAATTCGCTTTAGAACGTCTCAAGTGAGAGTAGTTTGAATTCAGTTAATTTTATTTGAGGTATTTGTCAATCCTGTTGTTGTCGTTTACGGTCCATCAGGTCCTGGCCTGGTTTGTTCAGATCTGCTTGGGCCTCAAACACATCCACGACAAGAAGATCCTGCACAGAGATATTAAGAGTCAGGTACCTCCTGTGATGTCAGTGGAACAATAGGACACAACGTATTATTTGCTTCCCTGTGGCTCATTCAAATACAGAGTCAAATTAGGAGGGAAAACGCTGATTTCATCATGAAAAAAAATTGAAGAATAAAATCTTATTTTTTGAGGAAAAAAAAATTCTTGGCCCAAATCTTATTTTTTGACGTACAATTTTGAGGGGGGAAAAAATCTTATTTTGAAACAAATACATCCATGTCTTTGAGACATACACCACATTTAACTCAAATTCATCACAGGAAATGTCAACTCAGATGACTTCTTTGTGCTGCAAAATGAGTGTCACACTTTGGTGTTTGTGTTGTAGAACATTTTCCTGAGTGAGCGAGGTGTCAAAGTCAAGCTGGGCGACTTTGGCATCGCAAGGATGTTGACTCAGTACGTGAGTGGCATATTTGCATACACACGGAACACAACATCAAATAACCTACTGTGTGTGTGTGTGTGCGTGCGTGCGTGTGTGCGTGCACGCGTGTGCACGCCTAGCACTTTGGAGCTGGCCAGGACCTGTGTAGGTACCCCTCACTACCTCTCTCCAGAGATCTGCGAGAGTCGGCCCTACAACAACAAAACGTATGTACACACGAGCCGCACAACAAAGGTATTAAGGTGATGTGGCGCATTTGTGTACTGTATATGCAGGGACATCTGGTCTCTGGGTTGCGTCCTCTATGAACTCTGCACTCTGAGACATCCAGTAAGGTTCAAAACACACACACACACACACACACACACACACACACACACACACACACACACACACACACACACACACACACACACACACACACACACACCGGTTATTTGATGTTGTGTACTGTGAATATTGATGATATGTGAATATAATAATAGAATATTTTAGACAAGTGTAACATACGAAACACACTTTGGTCATAAATGTAAGCCAGAATAGACAAATGTAACACGTTAGAGAATGTGACATACAAATTAGACAAATGCAACACACTTGTGAAACAAATGTTGCATGTTACAAAAATGTGACATGTTGGAGACAATATATATACCATGTATATGTACCACACGTTGGACAAATGTAATACATGCAAGACATTACGTTGTCTAACACATGTTAGGCAATTGCAATAAATGTGTGTGTGTGCGTGTGTGTGTGTGTGTGTGTGTGTGTGTGTGTAATGTGCAGTTTGAGGGCAACAGCCTGAGTCAGCTGGTCAGTAAAATCTGCAGAGGGCGCTTCAACCCTGTGCCCGCTCGTTACTCCTATGATGTTCGCCTGCTCATCGCGCAACTCTTCAAGGTCACACATTGAGTTTGTGTTTATGTTGATGTGTGTGATTCCTCACACGTGAGTAACTTAAGCATGACAGTCCTTCACATGTACTTGCGTTGTGTTCAGGTGAACCCTCGCGATCGTCCTTCCGTCAGCTCCATCCTCCAGCGTCCTTTCCTGAACAAACACGCTCTGGTACGTCTTCTTTGACCACTTTTATTTTCAACTTGATTTATGAACTCCTCACACACTTTTTAAGTCCCAAACTGAGGCAACGACATGCTGAGTATGTGAATGTGGGTGTGTTATGTTAATTTGTGCAGGAGAATCACAATAACACACCGACTCGTCACATCTGTAAAGTAGCACCAGGTACCACGCACACACACGCATACACACGCACGCGCACGCGCACTCACTCACATTCACATACATGGAATGTAAGACATTTAGCACATTAGATCAATGTTTCACAGGTAACAAGCATGAAACAAATGTAACACATCTAACAAACTGAGATTATACAACTGTAACATGTGTAACAGGCATCCTAAATATACGTAACATGGAACTCGACATTTTGATAGCACCCATGTAATATTTGTAACACACCTGTTATATGTCGCTCTCCTGGTAAATAAATGTAGCGCATGTAACACATTTTAGGCTAGTGGAGCACATGTACAAATGCACTTGTTGTTGTGATGCATTGTAGACAAGAAGAAGAAGTGCAAAGTGGCAGTGAAGAAACTTCCTATCAAGCCCGAGTGGAGAGTGTGCAGCCCCGCTTACTACACGGTAAAAACACACACGTAAAACACAACAACACTTTTCTTGACCTGAGTGTTACGTTTCACCCAATCTACTAAAGTGGGAAATATGGATGCATCTGTCATGTTGAGTTCAAATCACGATCAAGAGGATGTGGGTAACACATGTTCTTGGAGTTCTTTATTTAGCTGACACCGCGCTTGCTTTTGTGATGTCTGCCCAGCCCCACAGAGCAGGACACCTTCCTCAGCCTGCGGCAGGAGACGCCACGTGGGACCACCCCCAAAAGTGGCTTCAAATACAACAATGACTTTATTTTATTAATTTTTTTACCACTTTGAGCTAAGTCCTGCTTGTTTTCCTGGTACAGGATTGGACAGTACCGGCAATACTTTGCCCAGCTGGATGCCTTCCACGGGGGGGACGTCTGTCCTCCACCTCCTCCTCCACCACCACCTCTTCATCCTCCTCTTCCTCCCTGTGAGCCGTGTGAAGACGACGTCGCTCCTCCAGTTGAGCCTTACCAGCTGTGAGTGGCCCACACGACGCTGCATCGCAGATTTTTGGGGGGGGGTCAAACGAGGACCGACCCGCTCGGTCCCTTTTTAGCCCAACTTTTTTCCATGGTAAATTTAACTCATGTCACACTTTCTAGACAAATGTGACACACACGCAGGAAAGGTGTAACATGTAACGCGTGCATCGACAACTTGCAGATTTAACACAGACACCATTGTAACATTCGTAACAGTCGTGTGGAACCAATGTAACAGACAATTGTGACATCACACATGTATCTGTCATGATTCGGTTTGGGACCAACAGGTGGCACTGTGGGGCTCTCCCTGCAGCTGCACACCTGTTGGACATTATGTAATTAGTGCTTTAAAAGGACCCCCAGCCCGAACACTCAGTGTCGGGTCATTGTTGCTCTTTGCTGCTGTCATGTTTGTTTGTTTGCTGCTACCAGGTTTGTTTCAGTCATGTTTCGGTTGCTGTTATGTTTTATCTTCAGTCATGATTTTTGTTTGATACTTTGGAATTTGTTTGTTTTGGATTTAGTTTTCTCTATGTTTTAATACAATTCGTCAAGTACACCCTGCTCCTCCCTCCTGCCTGCTTATTTGGGGTCCACCACCACCTCGAAACGTGACAGTATCCACATAACACCTGTTAAACGTAACGCACATAACACATCTGCAAGGAAAATCTGTTAAATTAACTCATTAGAGACATGAGTAACACATGTTACACAGCTTTAGCTTATGTTAGACACATGTAACACACATTGGACAAATGTTCCACATGTGACATGTTACACGAATGTAACAAGGAAACGTAAACCAAGATAACGCACGTGCGACCTGCCATCATGTGTTTCAGGGTGGCAGCAGCACGTGAAGAGTACCTCCAGAGGAGACAGGAGGCCAGCCAGTACAAGCTGAGGGCAGAGAAACAGCTGGTGATCAACATTGTTCATCTCTGTGGAGGGGGCTAATTCATGGAATATTTGATGACTTTATCACCTCATCAGGGTCTGCGTCCCAGTACGGCGGAGGGCTGCCGGCCGGCCGGCGGATGTCAGCCACGTGAACCCCAGCACGTACCTCCTGGCAGAAAGCAGGACGACCAACTGGTAAACATAGCTGCGTGAAACCCGACGATTGCTGCAGAGCAACAAATCAGATATGTGTGTTTGTGTGTGTGTGTGTGTGTGTTTGTCCATATTTTTAATGTCTGTGTTGGTGCACGCGTGTTTGCAGGAATACTTGAGGCAGCTGGAGCTGATCAGACAACAATATCGTCAGGATATGAAACAGATGAGGATGAGAGCTGAGGCAGAGGTTCACGCGCGCGCACACACACACACACACACACACACACACACACACACACACACACACACACACACACACACACAGAGCTGAATGCTGTTGTGACACCTTGAAGCACACAAGTAAGCAAGTCGGCAAATGTTCCATACGTTGGGAAAATGAATCGTATTGCAGCACACATCGTAACAAAACATTTGACAGTTGTGACATGTAGCGCAGGCGATGCACATTAAACACGCGTCATACAGGTGTGACGCCCGCGGAATGCACGTTAAAAAAAAAGTCTCACGTTTTAAGTGAATGTAACACATTTGCTTTAGACAATCGAACATGTGAAACACAACATTCAAAAGCAACTCGATGATGGCAATACGTTAGCGTTTGTTAATGTAACACATGTAACACGAGTTAGATAATGTAACACATTCTAGAAATGTGACGCTAATGCTGCATATATGCGGTATGAGTACGCCTTGCAGGAATAGAAGACGCGTTAACAAATGTCATACGCGGAACAGCTAATAGACGATGTAATGCAGGGAAAAACACAAATATGACACATGTAACATATAATCCCAAATGTAGAACATGTAACATACGTCATGATAAGGTGGTGGTGTACGCGTGTCGTTACGTCCCGTGTGGCTATTTCTTTCTTTCTCAGCCGCCACACGAACCCGACACGTTTGTGCTCGACAAAGAAGCACAACCTTCGACGACACAACCCAAAAAACACCAACAAGGTCAAACCATGCAGGTAAACCTTCCTTTATTGGGCATTTGATAAGGGAGAGGACCACTGTATGGAATCGCCATCCTCAATGTCAACTTTACAGATGTCATGTCTCATGCAGGACATGGAAGCGGCTTTGAGAAAGATCAGGGAAGAGAACCGAAAACAGAGGAGAGAACTCAAGAAGAAACACAAGAACCAGGTGACTTGAAGGCCGCCATAAGAAACCATGTGGGTCTCGTTGAGAACCAGGACTTTTCTGGGAAGTCGTCCATCCTTCTCTGGCATCTTCCAGAAGGGAATCATGTTTGAGATCCGTCTCGACGACGTGAAGGACTCCTCGGAGGAGGATGACGAGGAGGAGGCGCAGGAGGGGAGACTGGAAGTGGACCGTCGGACGGTCCACATTCGGGAAAGCCAGGATAAAAAGCTGGATGATTGGGCCAAGCCGAGGAGGGGATGGAGCCAGGGACCACCGCAGACGCTGATGGAGGCTCTGGTCCACATGGACGTGGACTCCGGTGCGACGCTGAAAGTTCAGCCAGGTGCAATTTGCTTATTTATTTATTTCTTCGGGGGGGAGAAAGTCAAGAAACAATTTGGTTACACCTGAAAAGTGCTTCACGTCTGTTTTGCGTGGGCTCCACTTTTCTGAAAATCAACTTCTGGAACGTGTGAACGACTCCCGGTAGTTTGCCCATTTGCTTGAATAAGCTTCGTTGGTGCGCTCAGGTGAGGAGAAGGAGGAGGAGGAAGTAGGTCGTCGGCAGTGGGTCTCTGGACCGCCCAAGTCCTTATTGGACGCCATGGCCCAGGCCAAGCTCACCTCCTCTACTGTGGACTCGCAGAGTGCAGGTCAGAACCCAGCCTAACAAAAACTGGAAGCACCAACATTGAACTTTCCCACACTGTCACTCAGATCCTGAAAGGAAGGACCAGGATGAAGACTCGGACGTGGAGATGGATCAGGAGCGCTTGGAGCCCAGGTCGGATGACGACGACACGTAAGTTGACACAGGGTGAAGACATCCAAGGTGAGGGCAAAACCCGAGTCCTTGCTTCAAACCCAAACCCTTGCCCGAAGACTAAAGCAGATAAATGCTGACATTCCTGTTCCGCCAACTTCAGCGAACGGGTCTTTCGTTTACCCGGATGTGTTCCCATTGTTTCAGGAACTTTGAGGAATCGGACGATGAACTGAGGGAGGCGGTGTCAGACTCCATGAGGAACTTATTTGTCACCGAGGACGTCGCCGAGGACGATGCCAACACGGAGATGGAAAATCCTGAAGGAGCAGTGGCACCGGAAGGCAGCGACCCGGGAGAATCCTCAGCATGAGATCCCCCACACACTCGCCGAGTATTCCTCTCACTCACATCTTTATTCCAAGAGCAAGCAGTATTGCATTTCCGTAAACCATAGGACCATCCGAGGGTGGTCTCCTCACTGCCATTAAAATCCTCTCAGTTCATACAGAGCTTACAGGTGTGTATTATTTATTTTCTGGTTATTTGGTTGGGGTTTTTTTTTTTGCATCGGCGCCCTCTGCTGTTGGTGTCCTGAAAGTTGGGGGACGTCGACGAAAAGTGAATTGCAACCTGAGAAGACTTGGAGCAAAAATTTGAAAACCACCATGCAGTAAAGTTTCGATTTCAGTTTTTTTTTGGGGGGTGGGGGTAGTCCCTGCTCTCTTTCAGGATATTTTGCTCAGCAAGAATAACTTCACTTTTCATTGTGACATTTTGATTGTCCAACTTTGGCAGGAAACTTGACTTTTCTATTGGCGTGTACCACTTGCCCATCTCCAAAGCTGTCCACTGTCGTGACCGCCGTCCCTGAAAGGGTTCAAAGGCCTGCCGCTTGGAGAATCTGTCTGCAGCCGTTTGTTGAGGGCAATCTTTGGCCCACTGGTTCGCGCTTTGGCAAATCGCGTATTTTGTTGGCTTAACCAGATTTGCTGCAGGTTGCCCTCGTTGAGACCCGGACGTCTTTCCACTCTTGCCGATGACATCGCCGCCTCATGTGACTGCGGCGCCTCTGTGACAGAATCCCAACGGGATGATGTCAGCGTGCGATGTCGTCAGCGAGCGCCATATCGCCAGGGTGGCGACCATCGCTCTTCCAGGGTGCGACGCAAGCAAAACTGCTGCACTGCTTCCCAGTGAGTGTGTTTCACGCTGCCTTCAAAGCCTTTCGTGCCATACGCCAAATGGGAATAACCCGAGGTGCTAAGGAGGTGAAGCTAATAAATCAGAACGCTTACATTTAGCAAGCTGCAACCCTCCTGAAAAGGCAAAGTTAGCTCTGATGCTAATGCTAAAAAAAATAATACATGTGGTGCGTTTTATCATGACATTTCTTGTTAAAGTCAGCCAAAATAGCACTCTGAAATCACTCCGCCAGACAGCCTCTTATTGGAAGCGCTTTCTGACGTCACACTGACACACCACCCTCCAATTAAAAAAAAAAAAAAAAAATTAATTCAAGGCGCGTTGTGGCAAATGACCTCGACGCGGCGTTCTGTGGTCCCGCCCCCTCAGCACATACACAAAATTGGGCTTGAAACCCCAACGTTAAACCATTACCCTGACCGATGACCCTAATTTGAAACTCTAACTCTTGTTTCGTACCCTAACCCTAACTCAGAACCATAATTTGAAGTGATAACCATGGCTTGAAACCCTGGTTTGAAACTCACTTAAAATCCGAACCTGGACTCTTAATTTGAAACTCTTATTTGAAAACCGAACATTGACTCTGAATCACAATTTGAAATTCTAATCCTGCCTTGAAACCCTCACTCTTGTCTTCATACCCAACCTTGAAGCCCTAACTCTTGTTCTACTCCTTAAACCAGACGTGAAACCCACACTTCAAAACCAATTTTTTTTTTTGTGGGAATCACTGAATTAATTTATTGTTGAGAAACATACAAGGGAAAAAAAATATTTCCAGATTAAATCACAAGCGTAATTTTGAGAGGGAAAAAGTCGCTCGCCCCTTCCATGGTTTAAAAACTGAACCCTTGTTTTTTTTTTTTAATTGACCCCATCCATGTCTCAAACTCTACCTTGTAAGTTGCCAGAGGGAAATAAACATCAAAAAAAAAATTTTAAAAAGTGAAACGCTCACAAGTCATTTTATGACACATCGGCGCGGTTCCTTTTTCGGCCACTTTTGGCTAATGTGTGCATGTGCAGAACTGGCTGCAGTGTCACCTTGCCTTGCTCGTCTGTCTGTCTGTCTGTCTGCCATTGCCTTATAAAGACAAAAAGTGGGGCTTTGAGGCGCGATTTTGACTCACTTCCTTCCTGCTCGCTCTGACTAGATGATCGCTCGCTCAGACAGGAGTGCGCAGCAGACCGCTCGCTATCGTCGCCATCTTCAGCTCCGCGCCGCCAGACTCCTCCTTGCCGCCACGCTCAGGTGAGGAACATCACGGGCTTCAAACCCTGGTCTGCAAAACCCTTAACTTGCGACCCCAATTTCAAGCCCTAACCCATCTTTGAGACCCTCACTTTTGCTTAAAAACCCCAACCTTGCCTCGAAACCTACATTTGAAACGGTTCCCCTGCTTGAGACCTTATCCGTGACTTGAAACCATCATTTGAGATACCTTACTCCTTTTTAAAACCCTAACCTTGCATTGGAACACTCAGCTCTTTTGAAACCCTCCCTTCCTTCTTTTGAAATCCTAATTTCAAAACAACACTCGTGTGCAACCTTAATTTTCGCTTGCACCTGACCCTGGCTCGAAACCCTAACCGTCTCTCAAACCATAACCCCAATCTTGCAACTTGTATTTGAAACCCTAACCGTTGCTCGAAACGGCAACCCTGCCTCGAAACCCCCATTGAAACCAGAACAACGCTTTGCGCCTTGAAACTCCAATCCTAACCAACATTTGAAACCTTACTTTTAAAACCCCAACTATGGTTGGAAACCCTAATTTAAAACCCAAATTTGAAAACCTAATTTGAAACCGCACCCTGTCAGTTTGGGATGGGCTCCGGCACCCATGCGACCCTGGACAGGATAATAAGCGCTGTTGAAAATGGATGGATGGATCATTTGAAACCCAAATTTGAACCCCTGACCCTTATAACGACTACTTTTCTTATTCTAACCTTCTAAACTTTATTTAAAACCCTCACTTGAAACCCCGTTTGCATCCCTAATTGCAAACCTTTGCTAGAAACCCAAACCCCGACTTGGAACACCGATATTGCCGCAAACATGCGCTGAACATTTATCAAATGGAGCACATCAAGGTGAATAAAACAAACGACTAGAATTTGTTCCAGCATTTCATGTCCTGCCAAAGGCAAAGAGCTCAAATGTATCAAGGTCTTTATTTATCAGTTGGAAGAAGTTCGACGGCAGCAGAGTTGAAAAGGAAGTTTGAGGTTTCACACTGCCGGGGGGGAGGGGGGTGGCAGCCATGTTGACTTCCTGCCACCACGCGCGATCGCGATCACGAGATCCGGACCGTGATGACACGCCTCCCTTCAAAGACGGGAGCTGAACCGAAATCGATAAACACGACGGCATTCGTGTTTATTGATTCACACACCGAGTGAATAAAAATGTGTGTGTTATTTCATAATGATGATAGATTTAATAATAATCGATTTTTAGGACTGCAACGAGCGATTATCTGACGATAATCTTTCAAAAGCCCTCCCCACAGTTAAAAAAAAAAGATAAACATTCGTGGGGGGGCATCGGATAAAATAAAATAAATTAAAATATGGAAGGTGATATGCGCTAACTGTAGCCAAACTCGTACGTTGACAACCTTCCATCCTTAATACGTTTTTGTTCTGGTCAAGATTTCAAGTTTCCTCCCCCCAAAAAAAATAAAAATAAAAATTAGTTCTCTTAACATGGCAATTTTTTAATCCCTGCTTCACTTTGAGGTTGTAATGAAGTGATGTTGAATTGCCGTTCGAATCATGAGGATCCTTTGGTTCCAAATTGTGCCTGATGGTGGAGAGAAATTTGAAGAACAGGAAGTGCGGCATGTGAATCGGGAAGTTGCGTTTGACAAAGCAGTGCGCACACTTCCTCTTCTCCACGAGGCTACCATGCTTTCATTTCACCTTTTTTTTTTTTTTTTTCATTTCTCATCCAGCACTGCCATATGGACGCCACGGCAAGCGTCCCTCCAGAGGAGCTGGAGGACCTGAAAGAGGCCTTCGATAAAATCGGTAAGAACGCCGCCGCCGCCGCCGTTCGTTTCCCTCCGTCCTTCGACCCTTGACCCCCACTCCCGTTCTGTCTTCTGGCAGACGTCGACGGCAATGGCTTCATCACTAAAGGTGAGCTCAACGATCTCTTCCGGGCCGCCAACTTGACCCTGCCGGGTTTCAGGATCCGAGAGATCATCGAGGAGCTGACCAAGTCCAGCGAGCAGCTCACCTTCTCGGAGTTCACGCAGGTCAGTCTGCTAAGTGGTCAAGACGTCCTCGGTCGTACGCCAGCGTCATTTTTTTTCAATTTGTCTCCTCAGATAGTTCAAAACCTGAAAAGCACCGAGGTGGGCAAGACCTTCCGGAAGGCCATCAACAAGAAAGAGGGGATCCGGAACGTGGCCGGAACCTCGGAGCAGGCCGGAACGCAGCATTCATACTCGGGTAAGAAGCATTGAATCTTAATGAGGTTTTTTTTTTTCAGGGACTGGAGTGTTTTAGGGTCTTAAAAAGTCCCTGGAGGCTGAAATCTATGGAGATGAAAGTCTACAGAAAGGGTGGTCACCAACTGTGGTCAGAACATTAAAAACATGCAGGATTGGGGCACTCGGGGACCGGAGTTGGCGACCGCTGGCTAAAGTCTCGGGGATTAACATCTCTGGGGTCTAAAGTCTTTGACTGTAGTCTACACTGGAATTTTTCAAGACAGATGCTTGGGGGCTGGATGAGGGACGGAACTAGTTAAGAACTGAAGTCTTTGATGGGCCAGTTTTAAGGAGTTCCGACTGAAGAATTTGTGGCGCAGTCCTTGTTGACAACGGTTTTGGTGTCCACAGAGGAGGAGAAGGTGGCCTTTGTCAACTGGATCAACAAAGCTCTGGAGAAGGACCCTGACTGCAAACACGTCCTGCCTGCTGATCCCGACACCGATGAGCTCTTCACAGCCGTGGGGGATGGAATCATTCTCTGGTACTCTAAGAAAGCCCAGTCATGAATTATCATGACAGTCAACCTTAATTCGAACCGTCTTCAACCCTAGCCCTGCCTCGGGATCCCAATATGAAACCTTAATCCTTTTTGAAAGTCAAATCCTGCCTTGAAATTCCATCTTGAAACCCTCACCGTGTCCTGACTTCCTAACTGTCCTGAACCCCTTCATTCGAAAGCCTAAACCTGCCCCGAAGCGCGAATCTGAAACCCTGTCTTGTCGTCAGTAAGATGATCAACCTCTCTGTGGACGACACCATCGACGAGAGGACCATCAACAAGAAGAAGCTGACCCCCTTCACCATCCAGGAGAACCTCAACCTGGCTCTCAACTCGGCCTCGGCCATCGGCTGCCACGTGGTCAACATCGGAGCCGAGGACCTGAGGGAGGGCCGGCAGCATCTGGTCCTCGGTCTGCTCTGGCAGATCATCAAGATCGGACTGTTTGCGGACATCGAGCTCAGCAGGAACGAAGGTGGCTTAATGGCGTTAGGCGGCGCCGTCGGCGTTAGCTTGGCAGGATGTCGAAAAACCGATCTTGCGGAGTTATGTTGATCTGAATTTGTTTTGCGGTAGCTTTGATTGCGCTGCTGAGAGATGGCGAGAGTCTGGAGGACTTGATGAAGCTGTCGCCGGAGGAGCTGCTGCTGCGCTGGGCCAACTTTCACCTGGAGGAAGCCAATGTACCCAAAATCAACAACTTCAGCTCAGATATCAAGGTACGATACCGGGATGGCATGGAAGGCGAGACGACATTGCTCTCTGATTGGCCGATGATGACAGTGTGGTTTGTTTGCTGCCAGGACTCGCGAGCGTACTTCAACCTCCTGAATCAGGTCGCACCCAAAGGGGACGAAGAAGGAATCCCGCCAATCACCATCGACATGTCGGGACTCAGAGTGAGACTTCTTCAAAGCCTAAACCTGTCCTAAAACCCTCACTCAGTTTTCAAACCTTACTTTGAAACCTTAGGCATGGTTTGAAACCCTACCATGAAATTCTGACCCAGCCTTCAAACACTACCCCTCACGTGTTTTCCAGGAGAAAGATGGTGTCCAGCGTGCAGAGTTGATGCTGGACCAGGCAGACAAGCTGGGGTGTCGTCAGTTCGTCACGGCGACCGACGTGGTCCGCGGTAACCCCAAACTCAACCTGGCCTTTGTGGCCAACCTGTTCAACAGATACCCTGCCCTCAAGAAACCCGAGAACCAGGACATAGACTGGAGCTCCATCGAAGGTGAGGACCCCGAAGACTTTCTGAAGGACTTCCGTCCTGACCTTGACCTTGTTTTGACATCTTTGCTTTAGGAGAAACCAGAGAAGAACGGACCTTCAGGAACTGGATCAACTCTTTGGGTGTCAACCCTCGTGTCAATCATCTCTACGCGTGAGATGACATTATTAAGTATAAGAATAAAACAGGAAGCATAAATTGACATGATTTGTAACCTTAATTGGAACCCTAAACAAGGCTTGAAAACCTGAATCCAGTCTTGAAACTCTTATTTCTTGCTCAAGAGCTGAATACGAAACTCCTGCTTGAAACCTTACCCCTTGCTTGTATGCTCTAGTGACATGGAGGACGCCTTGGTCATCTTCCAGCTGTACGAGAAGATCAAAGTTCCCGTGGACTGGGAGCGAGTCAACAAGCCTCCTTACCCCAAACTGGGCAGCAACATGAAAAAGGTGACGACTGACTCGCTCACAAACTCGTCACCCGCCACCACCAAACGGCCAACGAACGTGTTATATGTCGCTGCCCCCTACAGCTGGAGAACTGCAACTACGCGGTGGAGCTGGGTAAGAAGGAGGCCAAATTCTCCCTGGTGGGCATCGCCGGCCAAGACCTGCACGCCGGGAATCGAACCCTCACCCTGGCGCTGCTCTGGCAGCTCATGAGGAGGTAGCGTCGGCCGCCTCCGCTGACCCGAACGGGCGCGTTTTAGCCTCGTGTTGACCATTTTGCAATCATTCAGGTACACGCTGAACATCCTGGAGGAGCTCGGCGATGGGCAAAAAGTTACCGATGACACCATCGTGGCGTGGACCAATCAGATGCTAGCGCAAGCCGAGAAAACGTCGTCCATTTCCAGTTTTAAGGTGGGCCCGCAGAGACTTTTTGTAAACAATAGAGATGTCACGTGGGAAGCCATATTGCGATAATGTCTCGGATTTTGTGAAGCAAATGATCGCGCTTTTGTGGATTGCATTTTTGTGCGCAAATATTTCTCTTATGTGTTGTTTGCGAGTTGTAAGAATCAGTGTGCCTTGGACTTTTGGTAGGACGGTTCCATCAGCACCAGCATGCCGGTTCTGGATCTGATTGACGCCATCCAGCCCGGATCCATCCGATATGACCTGCTCAAGACCGACGAACTGTCTGAAGAGGAAAAACTCAACAACGCCAAGTAAGAGCACGTCCTATTTGGATTTCAACCGAATATGATCTGGATTACGAGTGGGAAAGCCCTTTGGACATGTTGTGTACATTTAAGTTCTTGGAACTGAAGTTAGGAAGTTATATTTGCACCAAAACATGTTGTGTACATTTAAGTTCTTGGAACTGAAGTTATATTTGCACCAAAAGTCCAGAAACCTTTTGGGGATTACATTTGTGAAAGAAAATGTACACTTTCTGGCTCTGCATGTCAAAGGAGCTCCAGGTCTCATAACTTGAACTACATCCTGGTTTCAGTTCCGAACCACCAACGGAAACCAGGCTAGTGTGTCATGCGATCACCCGTAATGATGATGATGACGACGATGATGATGATTGTCAGGTACGCCATCTCCACGGCAAGGAAGATCGGCGCGCGCGTGTACGCGCTGCCCGAGGACTTGGTGGAAGTGAAACCCAAGATGGTGATGACCGTGTTCGCCTGCCTGATGGCGCGCGCCATGAAGCGGGCCTGACGCGCGCTCACAACTCAACGCAGACGTCCACCACCGATGATGTCATAGCACTGATGATGTCAATGAAGTCCACAACCAGTTGACAGGACCAAAGAACAACAATATACCTTTTTTTTTTTAGTCCACAACCAGTTGACAGGACCAAAGAACAACAAAAATGCCTTTTTTTTTTTAAATAAATAAATGTGATCCATCACTACTGGACACATTGTCAACTTATTCGTGTATTACACACACACACACGCGCTAATACTCAAGACACAGGGATTAACACGCAATTTCAGAGTTCGCGCCCAAAAAGGTTTTATTTGAATAATTTTGCACTGAAAGAAGTAAAACTATTTACAGTATTTTGTGGTGAACGCCGTCGTTATTTGGTGGTCTTGGTGTCGGGGGGTCCGCCGTCCCCGGTGTCCAGACTCTTGAGGAGGCGAAAGAGTCCAGCCGCTTCGCGTATACGGCTGAACTCGATGCAGAAGGCCTGGACCTCGATGAACAGGTCCTGAACGTTGATGATCTTGTTACGGATCAGAGACTGAAGGAACACGCACACCAGGCGCACCAACCGGTTCTGGGCGAGAATGACGACGACAGCGGCCAAAGTCGGTCACGGCTATTTTGAGAAACGGGAAGAGTGGCCAAAATGTGCGTCCTACCTGCATGTACTTGTCTTTGATCTGCTCACAGGTCGAGATGCAGTTGGAGATGTAAAGGTGGATGAACTCTGGAGGCAAGTCCACAGCCGTGGTCAACCTGATGCACACGCGTGCCGACAGCAAAGCAAGATGATTACAAAATCGTCTCAAATTGGGAAAGGAGATAAAAAAAATTCGTAAGATGGTGGCGTCTCTCGTACTGACCTGTTGACAACCTCCATGGAGTGCAGCGACATGTCCATGTTGACCAGCACGGAGAAGTACTCTGTAATCTGACTACTCTGCATCAGTTTGAGCAGCATCTCGATGGCCACCAGTGGGTTGTTCTCCACCAGGTCCGGAAGCTTGGCGGGGGTCAGTCCGATGTGGTACACCAGCTTGGGGTCTTTCTCCAGCTCCGCCAGCAACTAACAAAGGGGTACATGGAGGTGTTCACTTCATCATCATCATGGTGGTCCAGATATTTCATAATATTAGAATCCACTTTATCGGCGTGCCATTTGAACATCAACATCACATAAGGGACGATAAAAACTGTATGCAGCGAATAATTTTGTAAACAGACTAAATCCAATAAATGTAACAAATTCAGTACGCTGTACTTTTGTAGTGTCTTTCGTGTACCACTAGGGGGAGTCCAAGCACCATGCTTGGAGCATCACTGATCTCGACCATAAACATATACAGTATAGGAATATGCTTTGTTTCACGTGTTGATTTGTTGCTACGATATGTTGTTGCAGCCGCCATATTGAATGTGGCAGACTTAGCCCGTTAACCAAAACCAACGTATGCCACTTTGACCCTAATAATTTTGTGAACGTTTACACTTAATGTTTATGATACAGCAGCAAAATGAGGTAACCAATATGGCGTTTTTTTTTTTTTGTTTTGTTTTTTACCTGTGACTGTTGTTGTGCAGACAGCGGGCTCTTGAAGGCCTTGGCCATGACACGCTTGATCTCCAGGCCGGTGCTGTTCTTGACGCACATGGAGCGGTCCCAGTGCACGCGATGGTCTGGCTCAGTGGGGTTGAGCCACGCCAGCTCGTCCTCACACACGTGCAGCGGCGGAGGAGGACGGATCAGCTCGGGTCGGAAGTGACCTGCGAAAGGAACGATGAAGGCACAAATACATAAAGTAGACACGAAAATTTCCGTCAATGATGGAAAGAAGCAATGTTAGTCAGTGTGTGGAATGGCTGTTCATGCGAGTCGACTGACTCTCCAGGGGTGGGCGAGGCCCGGTGACCAGCGACTCGATGATCTGATTTGCCACAGAGCTGTCGAATCCCGAGTTGGACGAGTCCGGGTCGGGGTCGTTGAGGACGCTGGGGAAGCTGGCCTTGCTCTGCGTGGGCAACTCAGACTGACGCTCTGCGCCAAAAAAAACCAAACAAAAAACATACATTGAGTTGTAAACAGTTTAGAGGTCACATTAATAGTGGAGAGACTTTTGAAAGGATTTATTTCGGTCTTATTTTTTTTTCTATCATAAAAAAAGGCATTTGACAAGGGTGTGTACACTTTCTATACCCGCCAGTGCAAGCTGCAGGCCGCTGATGTCGATGGACTGCGGCATGCCGCTGACGTCCATGCACGACACCTGTCTCGGCGTCTTCTTGAACAAATCACGGGGCGGCGCCAACATCAGCTGCGACAAGAAGAACTTCTCGGGCTGCGTGATGGGTGCCAGGAAGCCTGGATGCACACAAACGCCACGCTCGCCTTCAAAAGTAGGCCCCCCCACTGGCCATTTCATTCGGTATAGAAAGCCAATTACAATACATTCAATCCAGGAGAAAGAAATCAAGCCAGTTTTGATTGACAGCAGTGAAATGTAAGTCACAACGTTTCACGGTAATCTTAAATGTCTTAAAATGATTAATTCCTTCATTTCAAAACTTTACATTGAAAATGATTTACATTTTAAGATTCGCTTTGGGCTAATTTTGCACGCTGTTCATATCAATTCTTTCCATTTTTCATGCATTTCACGTTTCCACTTGTGCACTTTGCTTCAAATAGAAAATGAGCAAAGTGCCACCGGCTGAGAAAATCAACACGCACGTACGCACGCGCACGCACCTGAGAGCAGCTTCTCGGGCTCGGGGTTGAGCAGGTGCGCGAACACGGCGGCGAAGGGGTTGGCGGCTAGCGGCTCGGTGCGGTACATCTCCCAGAGCAGGTAGAGCGCGGTGAGCCGCTGCGGCGAGCTGGGCAGCAGGTCGGGCTGCTGCAGCAGCATGACGAGCACCGAGCCCGCGCGGAAGTGCTCCGCCTTGCCGAAGTAGTGATGGAAGTGCGTGGACAGCGTTTCGAACGTGTTGGTGCAAGCCTCCTCCGAGATGATGCCCAGCAGGTTAGACAGCTCCTTCGGCGCCAGCGTCATGGTGCTCTCCGTCTTCGGGGACTCGCTAAAAGAGATTTGAGCGAACGTTTGGCATAGTCCCGAAAGTCTGCAAGTCGAGCTGTAACTGGCTAGCAACGAGTTAGCTTAGCGCGGCTAATCGACAGAAAACATGGAAGCCATGGCGAAAAATCGAAGAGTCCCCGTTGACACTTTTCCGCTCCGGAGGACCCAGTAGCCACCCAAAGAAATTTAATGACCCATTCACATGAATTATTCCCGGCTAGCGGGCGCCTTGGTTCGAACGATAGAACGCGGAAAACCCGGCAAGGATGTACTTTGAAATTGAGATTTGACCGTTTCCTGAGAGGTGCATCATGGAAGGTGTAGTTGGCGAATCACGAGTGGCCATTTTTGAGAGGTGCATCATGGGAGTTTAGCTTTCACGTGGTCATTGGCCACTTTATTGACAGGTGCTTTATGGGAAGTGTAGTTCAAATATGACGGTGGGCGGGGTTTAATCGAACGTGTTGCAAGTTTCCCAAGGTGCATTTTAGGAAATGTAGTTCAGGTGTGCTGCCAAAAGAAAGCGTCAATCGTTGACTGATTTCTCAAGTCAGATTTATTACAGCGAATATGAACCTTCAATCAAAGACAAAGAGATAAACAGCTGGATGGTGAAGACAGCCATTTTGTTTGTAGATTTAGATTAAGATTTGTAAAGCACATTTTAGATATAAAAGCACAATTTATATTAAAATATAGATAAAACAAGTCAACAAAATAACGCAATATATTATTTTACACATTTTAAACAGACCTTGTGTTAGCGTAGTGACTTTGAAGGGCAAATAACACCACACACACACACACACACACACACACACACACACCAAATTATCATTTTAAAGGGCCGAGAATAAAGCAAAGAACAAAATATAAAATATGGCTTTTAATACTGTACGTATATAAATGTAAACACAGTACACCTGCACGCAAAGACACTGTAAACTTCAAGGGTAGATAAATTGCCCACCGGGATCCACTTCACAACATCAACAACACAAGGCTCGGAGGCACCGTCACTGTAAGAGCAAGGGCTTGTGGGTAGGAAAAAAAAACCTCAGTCTGTGTAGTGCATGATGGACTCCACGTAGTTCCCGGGGAAGAGTCCGGTGGTGGCATTCATAACGCCTTCGAACCAGCCGTCTTCATTCTTCTTCAGTACGTAGATGATGGCGCCCTCCTGGAAAGACAGCTCGTCCTCCTTGTCGGCCGTATAGTCGTAGACAGCCACCACTAGACGAGCGTGCCAAAACATAATTTACTCTTTTAGTTCATTTGGAGTTCCTGCTAAATTTCCGTATCAAAGCCAGTACATTTGATCAAAAGGTAATGATCTTAAGGCATTGTAGTTGTGTGTTATTCACATTCCAAACATACACGCTAAGCTAACCCATAATAACCTTTCTCCAGGTAGTTCCTGGGAGCCCAGGGGGGATCTTCCTCTGCATACGGGTCGTGGTACTCGACTACCGCAGAGTCCCCCTCACCCCCCTGGACGTCGTCATCCTGGGGGGCCCGAGCGGACGCTGTCTCTTCCGAAGCCGGCCGGAGGGATGTTGCCCCGTCTGAGACTGAAGACCAGACCACGGACAGGTTGGTTTGCGAACACATCTCGGGCCGACGAGAACAACGTGTGATGTGTACTCACTGGATTCCTGAAGGCGAGCCACAAAGCCCATGAGAGGGAGTTGAGGAGTGAATTGGAGGAGGGAGGGTGGCGGAGAGGCTATAAAAAAAAAAAGAAAAAATTTATATGTAATATTTTTCAACAAATTTTTATTTTATTTTTTTTTGTGTGTGTAGCGCGCTAGTCATGCACATGTCGAGCCGCAACCTTATTTTCCCCGCACGTACCCGGGCTTTGGCCGTTGAAGTAGGGCCCGCCGTTGACCTGGTCACTCTGCGTGCCGAGCGGCTGTCCGGTGACAGAGGGCGGACGGCGGTAGGGCAGGGAGCCGCCCACCTGCGGCGTCTGCTGGCGAGGCTGAGGGCGGTTCATGCTGAAGAACTGAGGCACCAATCCACCTGACGCGCCAAAACGCACGTTGAATCACTTCGTGATTGATCAAGTGTGTCATGATATAGAAAGATAGAGCTGATCTGGAATGATGTGGAATGGAGACGCACGCTAAACAAGTGAAGAATAATAACAACGCCTGCATGGTCACACAATAGAGCTGAGAGGAACCAGACAGGAAGTCGAAACTCACCTTCCTTGGGTGAAGAGGAGTTGGGGGAGGGAGGTGGTGAAGGTAGGATGTAGGCGGTGCCGGGGATCTCGTTGGGCTTGGACGGAGAGGGCGGGGGGACATGCGGCAAGGACGGCGGCAGGGTGAGGGTTGCGGAGGATGAAGAGGATGATGAGAAGGAGGAAGAGGAGGTCGGTGAAGAGTTGGGGGCGCTAGAAGACGAGCTAGCGGGTCCGGCGCTCGGGGAGACTTCGTGGGGAACATTGGGAAGATTTAGTGAGCATAGGACTGACTGTTTTGTCTTCATTGTTTTTGTGCACTTTTAATCACAACAGCGAAGGTGGAATCAGTTTTGGTTGTTATGAGTTGCTGCTCATGAATTTACAACTCATGGACTGTTGTTTGCTGACTCCATTTCAGTTTTTTTTGCTCTTTCTGAAAACTCTCTGGCATGTAAAAAGATGGCATCACACCATGTCACAATAGAAAAGTAGCACCTTCATGCCATCTTGTGGCATCTAAAGGTGACTGCAGTGGTAGAATTTAAAACTAAACTCTAATCAAGTATTTTGGCAAAAAAATCTAACTTAAAAAAAATAAACGTGTTCTAAAACCTATTTAAAATGAATATAATCCAGACATATATTCTTTATCCCCCGTGAAGAAAGAGTAATATTACTGCGGCTGAATGAGGGCGGGGCTCTTCAATTACTTGCATGCTACCTGGAAAGATGGCGGGCGGGGATGGCGTCGCCACGGGGATCCCGCTGCCGCTGTTCTCTCTGCTGCTGCTCCGACTGCTGCCGCTGGGGTGACTCCCTCCGCTACTGCCGCTTTAAAACAAACAAAACAGACTTTTTTTTTTTTTGGTGATTAGAATCGAGATAAAATATTTCCAAAATATGAGATGGAAGCGTAAGGCGGCGGCACTGACAGAGACGAAGAAAAATGTTAGCAACAAGCGGAAGAACGCGAGAAGCGGATTGGTTGACGGCTCGGGTTAAGGGGGCGGGGCCAAGCGTTGCTGCGATTGGCTAAAGAAGCAGATGAGGGAGTCCCAGGTGGCGGCGGCTGCCATGTCGTCGAGGCTGACCTGTACGTGCGCGGGCGAGGGCTGTGAGCAGCCATGTTGTCGTTGGGGTTCCTGGTAGTGGTGCTGCAAGCGTAGTGGTTGGGGACCACCGGAGGCCGCACGGGCTCCAGGGTCCTGTAGGGGGAGCTCTTCCTGGACGTGCACATGCCGGTTAGGTTTGGACTACAAAAGGCAATTTTTGGCAGAATAAAATTCCAGTGACCGATTAATCTTATTTGTCATTTTTGTGCATCTTGGACCCGATATACTCTTACTGTGTGAAAGAAAAGCATTTTGGGAAGAATTTATTTTTGTGGTTAGAATAGCCTTCTTGTGACCAAAATTACATTTTCATTAAAAACAAATGGATTTGCATTGGAAATTAGCATCATGATCATCATTTTAATGAATTTAGAGACTTTTAAGGAAAAATAACATGTTGCATTTCTATACATAGATTTTCCTTTACACTTAATTTTCTTCTAATCTTTAGTCAAAGCTTTTTTGGTGCACTTTCGCAGCACTAAATACCATAAACATTGTACATTTATGTTCTTCTTTTTTTTTTAACTCCATTTTCTTTGACAAAAGACCAATTTGACATTCCGCTCCTATCCTGATCGTCTTTCTCCCTGGAAGAGAAATCCAAAACAAGAATGTGACTTGAAGTGGGCGAACAAAAATGACACCTTGCATTTCATTCGAATTTAAAAATAAAACATGGTTGCTTGAGCGAGAGGAACTTCACATGGGTGACCTACATGCTGGATGAGGGAGGGAAGGAAAAACAAGCTTTCATAACGCATGATGTCATTCCTCCAAATGTGTGTGTGTGTGTGTGTGTGTGTGTGTGTGTGTGTGTATGAGAAACATCACCGCCTGTGTGCCGAGTCAAACGTGTCATCATCTGGCCTTAGGGGGCACACATATGTGTTTGTTTTATTTGCTACATTAGCATTGGCATGAAAAGCAGAATTTAAAACCTTAACTCGAGCTTGAAACCCTAACATTTGTTTGAAACCCTAAGCACTCTTAAAGCCTCCATGAAATACTTTTTGGAAAATTATTGATATATACATTTGAAACACTAACCCTTGTTTCAAAGTGAAACCCTGGCAGGCAACCTTCAGTGTGTGAGGTCGCAACAAGTATGCCAGGCTCGCTTTTCACTTAAAAAAAAAATCACATTTGAAGTAATAATATGATAAAAGTCCTCCCAAGTCAAATTTCTCTGTTTTCCCTCCCCCACTCCCCCCATTTAAAAATAACCAATATGTCCAAGTCCCCCGGTTGCGTTGTCATGTCATTGTTAGCGCACACAAGGAAGTGGAACGAACACATTTGAAGCGGATTCAAGATGGCAACCGGTGATTTTAAGATGGCGTCACCTACCCAAAGATGCTGCGTCTCGCCCTGGGGGGGCTGGGGGCTTTCTGGCTTGGGGGGCTGGACCCGGGCCCCTTCATGTTCTCCGACCCGTTCACCTATTGAAACGTCACTCGTCAAATTTTGTGACGCGATAACGGGAAGGCTGAATGTGCAATGCTCCTGACTTGTTTTGATGTCAAAGCCGAGAGAGAAACCGTAAATTGAAAACCCAACCCTTGTTTAAAACCCAGTTTGCAAGATTTGGAAGCTTCGCCCGGATTTAACATCTTAACAGAGACTTTGTTACTCTAATTTGAATGCCTCACCTTTGCTGTAAACCACTACCTTGGCTTGAAACCCTATTTTTCAAACCTAACTCACTCTTGAAACCCTAATTAGAATTATTGTTTAAAACCCTAACACTGGCTTAAAACAGTTACTTGTTACTGAAACCTGAAACCATTTTGGAAAACCTAACCCTGTTTTGAAACGCCAACTCGTAACCCTAACCCTTGTTTGAAGCCCTAACTCTGGCTTGAAGCCCTAATTTCAAATGGTAACCTTTCCATGACTCCTTTTGAAACCCTACCTGAGGGTTAAAAAACGAATTTGAAACCCTGACATCTGTTTGAAGACCTTACCCTTGGTTTGAAACCCTAATTTGAAACCATTACCGGTTTTGAAATCCTACTTTGAAACCCTACCCCAGTCTTGAAACCTTCTTTCCCATCGCCGCTGCTTTTTGACTTACCTTCAACCTCAGCAACCACTTCACACATCCACGAAAGGCAGAAAACAAAAAAAAAATAGAAATAAATAAAGAGAAAACGAGGAAGTGGTCAGCGTGATAACGATGGGGGGGCGGGACATAAAGGAACAACGCCGCTCGCACCTTGACGCCGTGCCCGACGTCATCCAGCGCGCCGAAATCCACCGGCTTGCGGACGTAGCGCAGCGGCCTCTCGGGATTGGGCGGCGCCACGATCTTGTGGGCGCGGCTGGCGTTCTTATTGGCGGTCAGCACGCCTATCTCCCGCCTCGCCACCTTCTCCTTGTGGATGCCCACCGTCTGCGCAACGCCACACCAACAATATCCATCAAGTTTAATTTTTGTGGTCAAGGAAGTATCGAGCCTTTTGATACGACGAACCATTA